GTTTTTTGTATAATTGTCTGTCTACTTGGCAACTATGTTTTTATAAATAGTATTTCTTACGTACTTGATAATTTGATAATAAAACCAGTACCAGTTGGAAGAGAGAGTAATTTAGTAGAAGGTATTAGTATATGGTTGGGTTTGGAAAAGAGAAAGGGAAGGAAGATACTTTTTTCTAAACCAGGGAGAAAAATGGGAAGGGGGAGGATGGTATTTGTTTTAAAGATTTGCTTATTTATCCTACAGACAGAGAGAGAGAGAAAGAGACAGAGAGAGAGAGAGAGAGAGAGCGCATGCGAGCTCAAGCAAGGAGGGGGAGGGGCAGAGGGAGAGGAAGAGAATTCCAAGCAGACTGCCCCAGAGAGCACAGAGCTGGATGTGGGGCTTAGTCCCCTGATCCCAGAGATCATGCCATGAGCCAAAATCAAGAGTCAGAGGCCCAACCGACTGAGCCACCCAGGCAACCCCCAGAGGATGATTTTAATAACAGCACTAAAAGCTCCAGGGTAACCCGAGACCTGCAAAACGAATAAAAGTTGCTAAACACTGACTGAACTGGGTACTAGTTTAACTATCTGCTTTTCTGTTTTAATTCTTAGAAACCCTAGGGGGTCCTTGTTTGGTAGCTGACTTAACCTCCACCCAGAGTTGAGATGACTCACTATGCTTTGAAAATTCCACAATTTCACAAAGAAGCAAAAGTAATGGTTCTATTTGGATTAAAGCTCTTTAGAGGTTTTTGCCCCTGGGTTTCCCGGGCCAGCCCTCCGAGCATGTGTTGTTCTCCTGGCACCTAGGCATGCACCTGTGAGCTGTCCCCAGGTGGATGTGCGGCCTCACAGCCCGGAAGGCAGGCCTCCGCACGGGTTTCAGCAACACAGAATCATAATATATGCTCTCAGCTCCTTTATGATGTCATATAACTTGGCATGTTTTCCAATGTAACTTCTTTACTAACAATTGTAATTAAATGGACTGATTTGACTAAGGGTGCTGTGATGTGTGAGGTGCCTTCAGTCACTGGGCTTTTTTGAACCTGCTTAAGGCTGCCTCGGGCCCGGGTGCTATTTTAAGCAAGTCAGCTTAAACTCTTTGAGCCTCCTTTGCAACGTGATGGGATCAATTCAGGTCTTAAAGGATCCATTCAGGTCGGAAAGTCCACAATTCCATGATCCAACACTGTATTTGGGGATGATTTCCAGATAGAACAATATGACTAAAAACAAGAAAACAAAATTATCTTGCTTGGGTAAGACCAACAAGTTCCTAGAGATAGTTGGACATCTCCCTCCTGGATTTCTAAAAACATCCTAAAAAGCTTTCCAAGAGATTCTTAAAAGCATTTGTTTTTTTTCAAAGAACAGTTTTAGGTTCACTGAACGGCGAAATTGAGTGGAAGGTGTGATTTCCTCTATGTCCTCTACCTCCCACACATGCATAGCCTCCCCTTCGCCTCCATCAACATCCCCCATCCAGTGGCACGTTTGTTACAAACCATGAATCTATATTGACAAATCATTTGTCACCCAAAGTCCATAGTTTTTATACCTTAGGGTTTGTGCTTGCTGTTGTACGTTCTGTGGGTTTGCCTTGTGAGTTGCTAAGCCCTGTGAGTCTGCAGAGCAGTAGGACAGGCCCAGCTCTGTTACTACAGCGTGGCAAGATTGGAGGCCAGGTCGAGGTACAAGGTAGGCACCCAGTACGTCTGTGTGGCTTGGTCTCCACGGGAGAGAGTGCCTCAACATGGGTTCTTCAGGGTGGCTGCAGACCTGACACCGCCTGAGAGCGACACAGAAACTCAGCGCCACCCCAGCCCTGCTGGGACAGCACCTGCCTTTATCAAGACCCCCCTCCTGCCCCCCCGTTTGTGAGCATGGAGTCTGAGAAGCAGGGGTATCTCTCCAGCTCCCTGCCTTTCTCTCTGTCGGCACAGAGACAGCCTTTCGCTCTGGTGAACTAATGCTTTAGAGCTTGAAAACTGATCTCCAGGGCTTGAAATTAGAGTCTATGAAGGCTTTTCTGCTGGGAGAGACTCACTGGGGTTTTCTAACCTCTTCCTGAATTAACTGCAGAAGTTATTCCCATGGCATCTCAGCTGCTGTCTCTTCAGAGCTGGTTTCTCTCTCTTAGGGGGCTTGGCCAAAAAAGCAGGGGAAAAAGAAAAACAACCCCAGAACCACAAACCCCATCACAGCTTGGCGTACCTCACATTTCTTAGTGGGAAGTATTGGTTCCTCTTTTTTACTGCTGAGAGAATTTTTCATCTTTTTGGCCACTTTGCTTTCCCTCTTCCATGTCCTTTGTAAACAGAGTGGATTGAATTCTAACTTGCATCGGATACTCGGGCTTATAACTTAGCCCCAAACTGTTGCTTTTCTTTGCTGTTTCATCTCTTGTAGTCTTCCGGAGCATTTTCAAATATGTTTCTGATTCATTTTAAAAGGGATCATGCTGTCTATTCAGATCTTCTATTTCAAAATAAATTATATCATAGCAGAGTTTTAAAGCACACATAAAATGATTTGTTCTTAGAAAAACTTTGAAATCTATATGTTACGTAGGTGGACAGAATGTTGATTTTATTACTTTTATTGTTATAAATAGATTTATAACTGTTTATCCTTTATTGGGGGAAAAAAAACCCAGCAGTGACTTACTTTGCTGTGGTTGTGAGAAACATCGTGATTACTTTTTGGCCCATGCTTGGAATGTGATAGGTAAATAGTAAAGTATGTAGGCAAAATATCCTTTCTATCCAGTTAGAAATCTTTTGTCTAAATAAACATATGGCTAAATATCATGTACTAATTTTAGAGGATATACATAAAATCAATTAACAGAATTTTGTCTCAATCTTGATTTCCGTTTCTCCTAACGAGTCAGACATACCTCTGGATGCCCTCTTTCAGCTTCTGTGGGATCATAGTAAGCTATATTAATTCTGTAGGATGTTTTTTAACCTCACAAATTATCTAACCTAATATTGTTCATTTATACCCACAGGTATTTCCTTAGATTTAGCTGTATCTTTATCATTTATTTATCCTCTGTTTGTTCTTCTCCGATCTTCCTTCTGGGGAAATTCCCTTTCCTTTTGAAGTATATGCTTGTTTAGAGAGGCCCCGCTACTGAAGGTCTTCTGTTGGTATAATCACTTTCTGTTTATCAGAAAATGTCCCTATTTTAACAAATAGAGAGTATTGTTGGTTATTCAAATCTAAGATGTCAGATATTTTCTCTTAACACTTTGAAAATTTTATTTCATTGTCACTTGGCTCCTAGCTCTGGGAAGAAGTTATCTTATGGTGTAATGGCCAGTCCTTTCCTCTGACTCATTTACAGTTTCTCTCTGTCTTTGGTGTTCTATAGTATCATCATATGTGTAGATATGAGTATTTCTTTATTTCTTTATTTATTATTTTGGTGGGAGGGCAGAGGGAGAGGGGAAGAGAATCCTAAGTGGACTCCACACCCACTGTGGAGCCTGCTGCAGTGTTCAATCTCACAACCTTGAGATCATGACCTGAGCTGAAATCAAAGTTGGACACTTAACTGACTGAGCCATCCAGGTGCCCCTAGATATAGGTTTTTAAAAAATTCTCCTGGCTTGGGATTTCTTTGTCTTCCTGAATTGAAGGATGTCTCTTACTAATTTTGGACAATTTTTAGTGCTGTTTCTTTGCATATTCTCTCTACCCAGATCCCTCTATCATTTCTTTTAAGAACTTGTATCAAATGTATGTTGTACTGTCTCATTCTAGCTTCCATATTTTTTTTTTTTTAAAGTAGGTTCCACGCCCAGTGCAGAGCCCAGTGTGAGGCTCAAACTCATGATCCTGAGATCAAGACCCGAGCTGAGATCAAGGGTCAGATGCTTAACTGACTGAGATACCCAGGCACCCCATATCTTCCGTACTTCTTAACTTCTCTTTTTAATATTCTTATCTTTCTGTTTCTCTGTATTCCATACTGTGTAATTTTTGGATTTATCTTCCAGTTCACTAACTCTCTCTTTAGCTATGTCTAAATTGCTATTCACTATTTATTTTGTATTGTATATTGAGTTTCAAAATTTTAGCTGCTATATATATATTTTTAAAGGTTTTAAATTTAGAGGCATCCGGGTGGCTCAGTCAGTTAAGTGTCTGCCTTTGGCTCAGGTCATGATCCCAGTGTCCTGGGATCGAGCCTTGCATCAGGCTCCCTATTCAGCAGAGTGCCTGATTCTCCCTCTGCTGTTCCTCCTGCTTGTGCTCTCTTACTTTCTCTGTCAAATAAATAAATAAAATGTTTAAAAAAACAATAAAAGTTTTAAAATTTATTTAAGTAATCTCTGCATCCAATGCGGGACTCAAACTCACGACCCTGAGATCAAGAGTTGCATGTTCTTCAACTGAGCCAGCTAGGGTCCCTCCCCCCCTTTTATTTTTCCATTTCCAAATATTCTTTTAATTCTTTTTCAAGCCTTTCTGGCAATTTTTATATGGTCTCTTGCTCCTTACTCATGTTTGCAGCTGGCTCTTGTGGAAGAGCAGGAACGTGGGCTTGGGAATCAAGGCAGGCTTATATTGAGATTCCACTCCACCTCTGTCTGGGTGATCATGTAATTGATGTAGTTACCTTCTCTGAACTCTCTTTCTTGTGTGGTAAATGAGACAGAATGGACTAGACAGCCTAGCAGGACCTCCTCCATTTCTGGTATTCTGTGGTGTCGTTTGAAAGAGAAAAAAACGTCAATGGCTTCTTACAAAAAACGTCAATGGCTTCTTACACATAAGCTTAAGTAGAGGTGGAGGTCATGGTTATGAATATTGGCAGATATTACTGTGACTGTAATTCTGGCAATTTCTGGCTCCCAGTTAGCTGTTTAACTTCTAATTGTGAGTTATGTGTATTCACACTGAATGGATATTTGTTGTCCGTTTTTCTATCTGAAACAAAGTGTTGGTAGTTTGACTTTGATTGCCTTGCAACTAACCCAGCTTTTACTTCCCTTATAGATGAGCTCTTCCTGGAACAGGGAAACCTCTCTTTATCCTCTGTGGAGCTCATGATGAAGAAAAGCACCGAGCACAGCACTGCACACGTGGCCTTAACAGAAACTGCCCCAGGGTCCCAGCAAAGCAGTTCTCTCCATGTCATATCCTCTCCATCTGCCACTATTTTTGATACAATCTTTTTTAACCAAGGAACACTGACCCAAAGTATAGCCGATCACAGCATCTTGGTGGCAAATTATGTGTCGATGATGAGCAATGCGGGGGTCAGAGATGACGATGAAATGGATAACTTTTTGCCAGAAGCTCCCTGGACCACTTCCCGCGCGGTTTCTCCGATCCAGTATCTCCCGCTCAGCCCGCCAGTGCCGACTCCATCTTCACCCATTACTTCTTTACGAGACGAACAGATGACATCAGCCTGGCAACACACAGTGCAACAGCCAACAGCGTACACTGAATCCCCTAGTCATTTCAGTGCTTTTCGGTCAGCTTTTCCCACATCTGGGGGCATACTTCCAACTCCTAGTAGGAACTTGGTGCTTTATCCTACTGATGCTTATGGGCACTCAGCAAGCAGGACTTTGCCGGAGATCATGGCTTCAGGCACGGGGGAGGTAGAACCCCTTCTTTCCAGCTCTCTGTCTGCAGAGCCTCTGCTCTTAGGCAGTGGCCTTACTCAGCAGCCGTTTCCCTCCTGGGCGGAGGTCCCACCGCCGGCAGAGGATCTTCTGGCCACAGGCACCGACAGATACCCCGAGGCAACCACGGCTCCGAGTCCCAGTCTACAAGGAACCATCCTCTCTAGAACAGACCCTGCTGCGGCTCTGGCATGGACAGCCCTCCCTTGTAGCAGCGGCAGCCCCAATTCGGCTTTGTCCTTCTCTCCTCCTGCCTCCGTGTCCTTTTCTCCCCAATCAGCCGATGTTCCTTTTCACCCCTTTCTTCCTGGCAGCTCCAGGGAGCCGTCGGAGCTGCCGGGTGAGGTGGCGGTGGCCCCAAGTCTCGTGGACGACCCTGGGGTCCTGAGCCCGGTGTCGTCTCGGAGACCGTACACGTGGTGCGTGTCCTGCCGCGTGACGTCGCCTCGGCCCGTCGCGTCAGCCAGCCTCCCCGAGGGGGAAGACGTGGGCTCGGGGGACGGCGCCGAGACCCTGTCGGTGACCACCCCGGAGGCCAGCGGCGTCCTTCCGCCCAGCCCCGGAGTGGCGGACTTCTCCGAATTCGAATTCGAAGAGGAGCCCCAGCCATTCAATACGCTTTTCCCCTCCCGGCCGGTGGTTGCGCTCTCCTCTCCCTCCGTGGGCATCTCGGCCGCCGAGGGGGGTGTGGGACGAGTCGGGACCACCCGGGCGCCTCTTGCCCGCAGCCACCTCTCCGCGCCCGTGTCGCTCGATCCTGCTCCCTCGGGCTGGTCCCCTGTCCCCGAAGAAGCATCGGGAGCGCCGTCGCCATCGAGTGGGACAGCTGGGCTCCCTTGGGTCTTCAGCAACGTGCTCCCCGCCTCCTCCGTCCCGGGCACAGCCGGCCAGCACCGCGGCCCGCCCGCGGCCGGAGACGCACGTCCTTCCCCGTCCTCCGCCCCGGACCCACCGGCGGGGCCTTCGCGGCTCCTTGACCTCGAACCTGGCAGCTTCTCTGCGCCCCACACTGGTGGGGTTTTGGAGTCCTCGTCCGGTTTTTTCTCCACTCCGCCGCTAGAGTTCAGCAGCCTGGCCCTCTCGTCTTCAGAAGCACTTGCCTCTCCGTCCGCCCCGTCTATGGGGCCAGCGGGAGACCCGGCCGCCGTCACCGCTCAGGCCTTCTCCACCTCCGCTGAGACGCTCGCCTGGTCCGACGCTCCCCGCGGGCCCTCCACGCCGCTTTCCCTTCCCAATTCCACAGCCTCTGGCTCTTCCCAGCTCTGGCCGAGTTCAGACCTTCTCATAAGCACCTTCACGTTCCTTCCTGGCTACTCTGAAGGGTTGCTCCCCTCCAGCTTCCCTTGGGACTCTCTCAAGTTCTCTGAAGCAGCCACGGTTTCCCTGACGGGTCCCGGCGCCCACTTTACCTCAGCCCTCACTGCAACTACCTCCTCCTATTTTGAGTTATCGCTCATGGCTGGTGAATCTGCGGTCACCACGCTGGTGCCCTCTGGTTCTGAGCCCGCCCTTGACATTCTGACTCTTGGGACTCACTCACCAACATCTTGGACGGCTTTTCCTACGACACCCATTTTAGCAGAATCTTCTCTCCTTCCGTCTCTGACTCCAGCACCTCCAAGTGAGCATGTCAGTGCTATGGGTGACCACACACCTGTCTTGCCCTCTTTCTCCAAAGTCCTTCCTGGCACCACACTCCTGGTCACTGATGGGTACCTGTGGTCAGCATCCTCCTTGGCTCCTGAGGTGATCCCCTCACCTCTCCCTACAGAGCCAATGTTTGTGGGCCCGTCATTCCCACCCACAGATTTACCAGTGAACACCACCATGGAACTGAACTCACCCAACACCAGTGTTGCCCCCGATCGTACTGTTGACAGCACCCCGAGCAGCAGGGGTGACACTGCAAGTCAGACCCCCCCGGAGAACAGTTCGGCACGACCCCCGCCATCCCTTCATCCTGTGCCCACCTCTACTTCTGAAACAATGGTTGACACTCCAGCGCTGGTAACCACCAAGCCGCCATATGTGTGTGATATTACGGTTCCGGATGCCTATTTGATCACAACTGGTAAGGCCCTGCTTCAAGTCACCTCTTGGTTGGGGTGATCTTTCTAAGGTGCTTCTATGGAATGCCTCTGTGATGTGGAGCATCATGGGAAAGAGCGTGGGCTTCGGCCCCAGGGAACCCTCACCCCTTCACCTTTCTCCTATGAGTTCTCTGGATAGTTCTCTCTTAGTCGCTCTACTTCTCGGTTTCCTCAGCTATCAAATAAGAATAATTGTGCCGCCTGTTTTGTTGGGTTATAAATAAAGTAAAATAAAAGTAAATAAAAATAAAGTTAAAAAGCAAACAAAAGTTTTAAATGGAGCTTAGGAGTGTTTGCTAAGATCTTTATCTTTGGAACTCCTATCCCGGTGGATGCGTAGATGGTGTGGTTAGAACAAAACCCTTCATGTTTCATTCAAGCAGGTAGTTGTGCAAATGTGTATTGGAAACTGCTACAATTTCTTACTAATTTCTTATTCTCTTCCTTGAAAGGAAGGAGCACTTTGCTCCAACGCGTTCCTGTAAATGTCACTTAGATTCTGAGAATCCGAGAAAGAAACAGGGAGTGGCTCAATGTCTGATCTCATTTATAAACTTTGATCTGTGCCCTGGTCTGCAGCCCAAGTGACAGGATGACAAACAGCATCTTCCCTTGTACCTGCCCAGCTGCTTTAGTCTAATGAAATGGGAGCATGTTTGACGTCATGTCTGTATATGTCCAGTGACCATGGCCTGCTGTGCCGGGTTCTCCAGCTTGTTCTTCATCAGGAATGACAGGCTGCGTGTTAAGTCTTACAACCTGGTAATGTACTTGAATGCAATATCATACGCATCTGCAAGCCTGGCTCTGTTGTGTTGATTTTGGTGGGAATGGAAGGTAGAAATGAAGAAGGGAGACAGAAGATGGTAGAAGTAAAGGAGGCATGGAGTGGAGTAGAGAAGGAGAAGAACAGGGAAAGGTAAGGTGAGGAAAAAGAAGGTCGTGCTGTGAGGTAGGCTCATCATGGTGGTACCTCCCCTCTCTGAACTGGTGCAGAGAAGCTGAAGCCTTTGCTCTCCTAACTCCCTCCCTCCCCTAAATAAGGAACCATTTATCAATTCATTTGACAAATAATTATGGAGCACTCAGTATGTGCAGGTGCCTTTAGAAGGTCTAAGTGTTATCTCGATGAAGGACACGGATCTGACCTTCAAGGAACTTAGATTCTAGTAATGTAGACACAAGATATGTTTTCTTGGAAGCTGTGATGAGAATGGTTGAAAGAGAGTTCTATAAGTGCGACTTTGGGGATGATGAGGGATGGGTTTGGAAGGATGTGAATTGGAGGTACACACTCAAGAGGGCTGTTGTCTGGATATGGAGGGAAGTGTTCTCCTGGTGCAAGGTGTGCACACAGCTGGAGAGGTTAGATAGCCCAACAACAGTATAATGGGATGAGGTTGGGGGAAGTGGTGAACTTTTATCTGTGGTATAATAGCAGTCCAGAGGAGGGAGAAGAGTTTCTGGTAGATATGATACTTTTCTTCCTTTCTATAAAATTACTACATAGTAACTAAGAAGTGATCAGTTACAAGAAGCTTATTAAAAGAACTACTGGAAGCTTCTTTATTTCTTGGATTTCGTGACATTTGTGATACTTGGAGGTATAATGCGTCTTTTCACATTTTTCTACAAATAATTAGAAACCATCTTTAGAAGTATCTCTAAGAATATCAGATAGATATAGCATTGATTAACTGCCACAGAGGATATACATTTAATGAATTTGGTGTCCTTTGTTAGAGATCCATGTATTTGCGATTTTAGGGTAAAATTCACTCACTGTAAATGTATACTTCAGTTGTTAAGTATGTGGAGTTGTACATAAGTAACCCTACTGTTACATTGTATTTTTAAGTGGACAGGAATGCTGTCTTTTGCTTTCAGTGGTTATCTTTGAGCCATAGGAAGGATCACCTCATTTAGAATTTTCATTTGGATTTGGCCGTGGCTTATTTTTCGTAATTATCAGAGAGAGAGGGTTGGGTTGATCTCTTGTCCTCTGAAAGGGTTCTTTTTATGGAGCTCTGTCATGAAAGTAAGAGCCCTCTGTCGATCTGTGGCGGACTGTTGGGAGAACCCTTCACCCTGTGGATCCTCTAAGGGGTGAGGCTGTGCTCCCACCCAGGACCTGCCTGACCCTGGCCTCCTTGGCAGGGGTCTCTTGCCTCTCCTGGTCCAAACCAGATACCTAGAGAAACAGAGAGTTGTTGCTGATGACTCTTTTCCCCCGAAGACCCTTTTGCTCATATCCTGATGTTACAGTTTAGGTCTTACTCAGATTAACTAGAAAAGGTGTAGGTTTTCATGGTGGGCTGTGCAGACCATTCAGAGTAATATGTGGCTGGTTCTCCCTTTAGCTGGGGCTACTTACAATGTGTGCTTCCTCCTTTCCTCTTTGGGGTTTTTCTGTCTCTGATTCTCCATTCTGTCTCTCCATTCCCCAGGTTTAGCTTTTGAGATCTTGGAAGAGGAAAGAAAAAAATAATAGGGAAAAGAAAGGGGAGCAGCAGGACATGTTTACTAAATACTGAGAAAGAGGCTCTCTTATTACAGATTTTAAAATAGAATTTCTCAGATGTGGAAGGAGAGTTAAATATAGCTAGACTTTGTTACAAGAAATATTTTACTTCCTACATAAAATTTTAATACACGAGGATTGTGAAAATCTTTTCCGCCCTGTTATTAGTGGTGAAAACCCTTCCCTTATTGCATTGAAAAATTGTGGTAGGAGACCTCATTTTATAGGGGAAGATGTCATCTAGTTTTGCTGAGTAACATCTTAAAGCCTTTTAAAATATTATGGCTGAGAGTTAAAACTTTGTGTTTTACCATTAGGGGCATAGCCAAGAGGAAAAAAAAAAAAACCCAGGAATGTCCAGATCTATTGCTGTTCCTCTGTTCTTTCGTAGTCTGGGCCTGATTTTACAAAATGATTTTCAGAGCTGGTGTCCTAGTTTGGCTGAGCACTGCCTTGGGGCCCAGAAATGTGCAGTCCACGTTATTCGTAATGAAACTAAACTGCATTTGGTGGTTGGCTTTGGTTTGCAGTGCTGGCCAGGAGAGCCGTGCACGAGTACATCATCACGGCCATCAAAGAAGTGCTGAGGATTCACTTCAACCGAGCAGTGGAGCTCAAGGTGGGTCCCTGTGGCGCGGGAGCTCAGGCTGAAGGCATGTCATGGTTCTAGAAAGCTCGCTCTCTCCTCTCCTCCCTCCTCCTCTTGGTGAACACCTGTCTACTCATCCCGGGATAGCCGCTCAAACGTCACTTCGTCAGGGAAGCCCTGATCCCACCCGAGGCCAGGTGTAGTGCACTGGAGGGGTGTGTTGGCAGAATTGGAACAAAAAGGCTCTAAGACCAGAGTTGGGGATGATGATGTGATGATTTTGCTTCCTTTGATTTATAAGAAAGGACTTGGATTTGAATTTTAATTATATTTTAGAGTGAGTGCATATGCACATTTCTGTACACTCAGTGGGCTAGAGATCGATTTCTGTATGTTTTACAGTGGACAAATGCCTCCTTCCTCCTCTCCCCGATGAGGTCAGAAAGCCCCGCTCTAGGCCCGCATGTGGCTGCCGAGCACATGAAAGGGGCTTGTCTGAATTGTGATGTGCTGTGAGTGTAACACTGACATTGGATTTCAAGGGCCGTGTGAAAAAAGAAATGTAAACGATCTCATTAATAATTTTTTTACATCGACCACATGTAGAAATGCTGTTTCAGATGTCTTGGGTTAAATAAAATTAATTTCACCTGTTGCTTTATATTTTTTTTAACGTGGCTACTAGAGATTTTAAAAAATTGCATACGGGGGCTCATGGATTTCTTTTGGACAGCCCTGCTCAGCAGAGTAAGTGTTCCTCTACATGTGGATTAAACACAACGACATTGAATTCCCCATTATTCATTACTCAGTTCTTATTATCAGCTGTTATTTCTCGCTGCCTTTGCTCTTGTAATTCTGTGCTGTTTTTGAGAAGGCAGGCAGATCTGCAAAAGGGATAACTAAAATAAAATTTCGATTGTCTCCGCAGCGCTCCCTCTTCCTTTAGAGCTACCTGTTTATTTTTCACCTCACTTGCTCTGTTATTTTTCTGCTTCATGCAGCTTCCTTTAATTTTGAGTTACAGTCCTCTCAATTTGATAATTACTGTCTTTTGTGTTTTTTAATTTTCATAGGTTTATGAACTGTTCGCTGACTTCACTTTCCTGGTCACATCTGGACCTTTCGTTTACACAGCAATATCAGTGATAAATGTACTTATAAACAGTAAACTTGTACGTGACCAAACTCCTTTAATCCTGGCTGTGAAACCTTCCTTCCTTGTGCCAGAGTCCAGGTTCCAAGTTCACACGGGTGAGAAAACTGAACATAGTTGTTTTGATTGATTTGTACATAAAATTTCATTTTATTTTTTACGTCGTCAAAACATTGGGGGAGGATTTTATAAAATTAATTTAAATTTTAAAAAAGCCTTTATTGTTACAGAAAACTTGTAGCATATACGAAATTGCACAGAATACTTGAATGAGCCCCCGTGTAGTCATCGTATGGCTTCAACAGTTTTCACCTCTGAGTCTGTCTTGTGACACCTACGTGCCCTCCTCCCACGTTATTTTGATATGGCATCATGTCATTTCACCCATAAATATTTCAGCCCGTGCCTCTAAGAGATGAAGCTTATTAAATACACTCTCACACACATATCCACGCTTAAAAAATTACCCATTGTTCTTTTTCCCATTGACATTTTCCCATTGTTCTGTCTGTCCCCCACAGTGTTTTTTTTTTTTTTTTTAAAGATCTTATTTATTTATTTGACACAGAGAGATCACAAGTAGGCAGAGAGGCAGGCAGAGAGAGAGGGGGAAGCAGGCTCCCCGCTGAGCAGAGAGCCCGATAGGACCCTGAGATCATGACCTGAGCTGAAGGCGGAGGCTTAACCCACTGAGCCACCCAGGTGGCCCCTCACCCCCCACGGTGCTTTTTGAGGAGTTGAGAGTGTTTTCACTCTTCCCACTTGAAATGTTTCTGTCAGTTGCATCTTTTGGTGCTCCCGTTGTTACCTTTTTTCATTTTCAATGATACAAGTCACCTTCACTTGCATGTATCCATTTGGTGCTAGTTTGCCTTGTAGGTTTCCCTGCTGGGAGGCTGCTAACTACTCCCTCTCCATACTTAATCCCGTGCTGGGGGGTGTTCGTCGAGTTAGATAGTATTTTTCATCTCCTCAGTCCTCAGTCCTAAACCAGCACCTGGTTCACGGGCCTGTGATTGCCGTCTGTCTCTTAGTTCTTCAGTTCGTGCCTCAGAGTGTGGATACCGGCTTTTGCAACTTCACCCAGCACATCGAGAAAGGCCTGATGATAGCTCTTTCTGAAGTGAGAAAACACCACCAGGGGACGCATAACTTCTCCGTGCAGGTGAGAATAGCACTGAATGCAGAGCAAGGCGCTCTGCCCTTTGAAGAGGAACTTGTTTCACAGTCTTGTTGAGGTCACAATTAACTCTTCCTCATTCCCTCTCATGGAAGAAATTCAGTTCACGTGAATCAGGGTCGATCCCTTTCTGGGGCACGGAGTTCACGGGGTGTGAATAGGCAAGTACTTGAAGATTACAGAGCAGTAGGATAACCACGGAACTCAGATGTGGTGAGCTGGACAGAGATGAGCATATACCAGAAACACAGGAATGTTCTAGGAAGGAACAGTATCAACCTAACTCCCCCCCCCGCCAAATGGGGGGAGTGCCTCAGTACACTGGTGTTTTGTGTTATGGGGTACCACGAAATGTAGTGTTTCATTCTAAAAAACAGAATCTAGCCACTCTAGATGAACAGGTTTTGTGTGTATTGTATGGAAACTCCTGATGTTGTTAGATTTCTTTGATATTTTTTCTCTGTATTCTTTGTTCTCTCTTTCTAGATTTTATAGCAAATAGATTTTTGTGCATCTGGAGCCACCTTTCATAATTCTTATGTTTTCTTGTTTATTCTTCTGTTTATCTCTTTTTAAATTCCCCATTTTTGCACACTTTCTATTTATCTATTTTTTAAAAAGGTTTTATTTATTTATTTGACAGAGAAAGAGATCACAAGTAGGCAGAGAGGCAGGCAGAGAGAGAGGGGGAAGCAGGCTCCCCGGTGAGCAGAGAGCCCGATGTGCGGCTCGATCCCAGGACCCTGAGATCATGACCTGAGCCGACAAAGGCAGAGCCTTAACCCACTGAGCCACCCAGGCGCCCCTGCACATGTGCTAAACTTGGTTCCCTGAGTCATTAATTTCGTCTTCAGCTGTGTCCATCGTGTTTCTCATCCCTCTTGCTGACTTTGCTTTCAACTGTCCTTTTTCTGTTGTTCTTGGCTCTTTTCTCATGGTGATTTCTCCTGCAAAGACGCAGGATTATCTTGAATGGTGATGCAATATCACCTCGAAAGTCTCTGAGGAAATAAACGAGCTTCCGGTTCCCACATTGTGTTTTCTCCGAAGCCATTGTTCTGTGTTGATCTTGGTCCTTGGCGCTTGGGCTCCTAGTTTTCCGTAAACTTTCTGGACACTGTTGGTTAGTCGCCATGAGGAGTGAAGAAGCAGGTTGTTAATTTTGGCAGCTCACCCCTTCAGCTGTGGCGTCTGTGTCCACATCCGCCCTGTCTCCCGATGGGAGGACTCCCTGGAGCACTGGGTCCCAGGCAGGGGATGAGTTTAGTGGGGCGGACTGGAACCCCTGCCCCAGCGCAGGACAAGGATTTCGGGGGATGGAGCGCTTCACAGCAAAGCTGCCTTTTTTTTCATTTTCTTCCCTTCTCTGTCTCTCGTGTGCTCTGGTGCATAGGAGTCTCTACCCTCCTTCCTAGTGGCCAAACCCACAGTCTTGTAGCCTGCTCTGACCAGGAGCTCCTTTTCCTTATGGAGCTGTTCTTTGGGCTGGTCAGGGGGCCCGTGTGGCTGCGCCAGCCCCTCTGTGTTGGCCTGCCCGTGGCCGTGAGGAAGGAAGGAGGAGGGAGAAAGTCAGCTCAGTTCTTTGGTACGTGGGCTTTGAATAACTGTACTGATTGCTGTTCATGGCCTCCTCTGGGGTCGGTTCCTGCAGAGCCCTCCCGGCTCTCTGCTCCTGCGCTCCAGGCCTGGCTATGATTTGGGTATCCGTTCCCTCCATTCTGGTTTATATCATTACGATCCCATCCTGTCTCCATCTTCCAGGAATTTGACAGAATCTCTGATTTTCTTCCATTCACAGAGCTGTTGTGGATTTACTCCCCTTTGTTCAGCTTCTTGTTATTTCAGTGGGATTTAGAGTGGGCGGGGCGGGGAGGGACCGTGAATACATGCGTTTGGTTCATCGCTTCATATGAAAAACATTTTCAGTAAACCAAGAATTTTAAGTATTGCAAACGGGAACCAGTTTGTGGAGCTGCTTTGTTCCTTTGAAAAATGTTCTCTCCTTTTAAAAAAAAAAATCAGTGAGAAAAAGTGTACGGGAGAAACCATCGGCTTTTAGCTCAGTGTTTCACTTTCTCTTGGAAGCTGATCCCACCTTCCTTCTTTTTAGATCCTGAATATCACTATGGGTGCTTCAAGGCCGGCCCCTCGGCGGGGCCCGGTCAATATCATCTTTGCAGTCAGAGGCACGCGGGGGTTTTTGAACGGGACAGAAGTGAGCCAGCTGCTCAGGAACTTGAGCGTGGTGGAGTTCAGTTTCTACCTGGGGTACCCCGTGCTCCAGATCGCAGAACGTGAGTATGGCTCTCACCCACCTCTGGGGAAGTGGCCACAAGTGTTTTCATTGCTGCACCTCTTTTGAAATATTTGGCTGAAGTCCAGAGTGTAAATCAGATAAAATCAGAGCTTCTCAGAGACAATTCTGGCTGGGCCTCCCGAGCCCTCCTCACCCACTGGCCTTGCTTTACTATTGTCCTTTGAGAGTATAGGGCATTGGTAAAGACTACACCGGTTCTGGGAAGGGTAAAACCAGAGGCACAGAGAACAGACCTGTGGTTGCCAGGGGTGATGGGTGGGAGGCAGGCTAGACTGCGGAAGAGTAGCAGAAGGCAACTTTTGGGGGCTGATGAGTCTATTCTGTATCTTTGATGTGGTGGCGGTTATGCAACTTTGTGCATTTGTCAAAAGCCATAAAGCCGTACACCAGAAAGAGTAAATTTTGCTGCATGTACGCACAAAACTAAGAAAAGAATAATAGATGAAAACAAAACCTTTCTTCCTGGCTGAAGCAATTAGAATCACGGTGCACACGGAGCGGGCTGGGGGTGGGGTAAACATTTACTTCAAAAAACAGTAGATTTGAGGGTTGAAGTCAGGCCAAAAAATACATCAAATTCCTTTACAAAAATGGAACAGCCAAATGGTCTAATGACTTTTATGTGTTTTCGTGTGCGGTTAATTAAATTAAAAAGGGTGACTTGTCAGATGCAAAAGTAGGCAGGGATAGAAATTGTTCTTTACAAATTGCCCCGTTCGTTCTGTGCTGTGCAGGTATGGGTAAAAGAGTAAGGATGGCAGCTGGGGTAGCCCGGGCGTCTCCCGGGCAAGCCGGGACATAGGGTCACTTTACCTGGAGTCATTGCTGGCAGATCCTGGGGTCCCAGCGAACACAGTGTGAAATCTCATTGCTCTGGAACAATGAGATTTCAAGGGGATCATGTGGGTGGGTGGGCTCTGGTCACTCGAGCCAGCCTTTCACTTCTTCTCTGCCTTTCTCCTGGAGACTCCTGTGCTCAGAAACTGCCTGTGGTCCTCGCCGTCACACCAGTCTGGCATTTTGTTCTAACACGTTTTGCACTAAAGGCGAAATACCGTGGAAAGGCAAAGTACTGTGACTTAGCGGGTACTCCCTAGCCTTACCTTTCTGATGCGTGCAAACATGTTCTTACGGATTTCCCTCCTTTCCCTTTTATAGCCTTCCAGTACCCACAGCTGAACTTATCTCAGTTGTTGAAATCCTCCTGGGTGAGAACAGGTATGTCGGACTTACATAATGCTTTGGCAGCTGTAAGAATAAAAGGTCTGTGCAGGTGTACTGAGCGTGATGTCACCTTTCGTGCGTCTGAGTCCTAAATTCAGGGCACCATGTCCCTTAAATTCTTGGCAAAGAATGAATGAGAAGGGAATTGAGATTCAGCTGTGGGAATATGTCCCGCTGAGTTATGGCACAAAAAGGATTGGCTTTCTTTAAAATTCCTACATTAAGTTCAGGGGAAGGTCTAACAAGAATTGACAGTCTTCTGATCCAAAACAGGATAGAGTTCCAAAGCAAGGATCTCTCTCTGTTTTTTTTTTTTTTTTTTTTTTTTTTCTAAAAAGGCTTATTTGTTTGGTTTTATGAGGATGAATAAGATAGCTTGGTGAGCAAATAAGGTTTTTTAAAAAGTCTTGTGGGCTTAGGTCAGATATTTATAGCTATGGCATTGCAGATAAAGGCTTTCTAACTGGGTAACCAAAGTCTAAGAGATAGTGACACCCTCACTATGTGCCCAGTGTGTGAGTGGCACAGTAAGTAACTGGTCGTGGAGAGAATAGTGTGCTGTGGTGACGGTCACCATTTGTGGTTTCTCAGACCCTGTCGGCCCTCCTTGCTTCACATACAATATCCCGTGCAGAGGCTCCACTTCTTTGCGTGGTGCAGTGGCCCCATTTTCCAGATGATTTTCCTAGCACTTTGGAGACTTGTCCCTGGTCTATCTCCGGGCGGATTTGAGCGGATTCTGGCTGCAAAGCCCAGGGGTCTTTCCTCTGACCTTATGCTGACAAGCCCATTATCTGTTTGATAATCTTGTTTACAGCAGATATTTTTCAGACAGGCACCCTTATCTGGGGTGAGTTCGTGCATCTGAGTCTTGAGTCTAGATGAGATATGAACTAGAGCATTTCCAGAAGTTTTAAAATAAGGATGGATAAAATGTTTGCCCGTGTGTGGGAGTTCTTAGCTCCAAAGCTTCTATGCTGCGGAGTTCCTGGAACTTCTGGCCACCAGTCCGTGCATAAGAGCTTGGAACTGTAAACAAGACCCTTGAGCAGCACTTCCTGGCTCCCTATGACCCCATTCATGTTTACTTTCTCTCTCTAGTATCTCCTCTCGAGGGGTGGGCACATGATAGGAATCCTATGTTAATTTGTCCTCCACACCTGCTCATTTTTCCTCCCCTGCTAACTTGTTTCGGGGCCTGTGTGTGTTTCATTTTGTAAATGTAGTTCTCCTGGGCGTCGTGGAGAAGCAGCTCCAGAATGAAGTGTTTCAGGCCGAGATGGAGCGCAAGCTGGCCCAACTGCTCAGTGAGGTGTCCACGCGGAGGCGGATGTGGAGAAGGGCCACCGTCGCTGCTGGGAACAGCGTGGTGCAGGTACTCTAAGAAGGCCAACGGAGGAGGGAAGGAGGGGGCAAGAGATTTGTCTAAAAACACACGGAATTTTCACGCAAATGGAAGATGCTATGAGAAAATTCTAATTGGGATTGATGACTCTATCTGGTAGCAAGTGAGTGTGGTAGCATTTCAGTTCGACTAGAGTCTAGACACATAGACCCGTGGGGAGCACGGCAAGGAAATTGTGTCACTGGGTTGCCATGCCATCAACATGACCTTGTTTTTTGGAGTAGTTTTTAATCACCAAAAACGTAGTCAATTTTATGCAGTGGTAAGTATTATTAATAGTATCATAGCTATAAATCATCCATCTGGAAGAGACCTTAAGGGATCGGAGAGAGGAGAATTTTGTGTCCTCCCTTTAGCACTTTATCCTCCCTGCCTCCAGCCAGTGCAGGTGGTTTCATGTTACCCAACTATCTCCACATTGTTGTTGTTGTTTCAATTGGGGTAAAATTGGTATATGACATTATGTTAGTTTCAGATGTACGAGATAATTATTTGATATTTGCATATACTCCAAAGCGACCACCGCAAGAAGTCTAGTTACCATCCGTCACCCTACAGTCTGTTTTGTAAACTAGCAGGAAGGCCACAAACAACAGATCCATTTGAATCCAAAAGTGACCCATTAAAAATGAAAGTGCTCGCAGAGAGCTGGAGATTGGGGCTGTAATTTATTCCCATCTCGATGTGAATTCGGATATTTTCGATGTTTTTCTTTATTGACTGCTGACTTCTAGAGCTAGGAAAACGGGATATTTAAAGTTAAGGCGTCGAGGGACGCCTGGGTGGCTCAGTTGGTTGAGCAGCTGCCTTCGGCTCAGGTCGTGATCCCAGTGTCCTGGGATCAAGTCCCGCATCGGACTCCCCACACGGCGGGGAGCCTGCTTCTCCCTCTTCCTCTGCCTCTGCCTGCAACTCTGCCTGCCGGTGTGCTCTCTCTCTGACAAATAAATAAAAATAAAAAATCTTTAAAGTTAAGGCGTCGCAGAGATGGGAAAGCTGGTGAAACCCGGGGGTGCAGGGGCATCAGAGGGAAAGGTATGCAGCTGACTTGGATGGGGGTGGCAGGAGTTTGCCTTCAGCTGGCGGCATTGTCCTGTGACCCTCTTACTGAGTTTTCCCCGTCAGCATTGCTCTTGATTCCTTCTCCCAGAGTCATTCCTTTGCCAGCTGTAGTCGAGTATAGAGAAATTTTTAAAAACTAATGAAAAATTGAGAATAACATTAAATAAGCATTAAACAAAGAAGAAATTAAAATGACTTGTAAAAGCCTTGCCTTAGTTAGCAGCCCTGGCTTCATAGAGTTCAAGGTCTTGGTGGAGGCTAATTTATGCACGTAAAACAGAGACCTCGTTAAACTACCTAATGAAGTGCTACGTTAGTTGAGCAACTTCCCTCAGGTAGGAGTGTGAGGTCTGTGGAGGTGAACCAAGCCACTCCCAGCCAGCAGTGCCACCTGACGGATTGCTTTGGGACCGCGCCTCACATCTTTCCCCCCTTAGGGTGACCCAATGTGGAGACATAGACAAGGATTCGTGTGCAACAGTCAGGGCTCCTCATCAAAATATCATCTGTAAAAGGGAAAACATGAGAGCAACCTCAATGACCAGCATTTGGAGAATGAGTAAATAAATTATAGTGAATCTTTGTATGTTGGAATGTTAGGTGGCCATTGTCATTTAAAAAAAAACTGTCGAGGAGCACCTGGGTGGCTTAGTGGGTTAAGCATCTGACTCTTGATTTTAGCTCAGGTCTTGATCTCAGGGTGGAGAAACCAAGCCCCACTCCACACTCAATGTGGAGCCTGCTTCAGATTCTCTCTCTCTCTCTCCCTCTGCCCTTCCCCTCCCGGCCCCCTCCCCCACTCACTCTCTCTCGCTCTCAAAATACATAAATTAATAAATTATTGAGTGATATGGTGAACAAAGATTACCAAAGAATGCGTGCGCTGTCATCCAAATATTAATATGAAACCTATGAAAAAAATAATGGAAGTATGCCACAGTGTTTATAATAATTTTCTTTGGTTGACTGAACTTCAGGTGATTTTCGTCTTTTTTTTTTTTTAATATACATTTTGTGTGTTTTCAGAATTTCTCCAATGAGCATGCAATTTGTACGGTGAACATGTGATTTTAATCAGAAAATAATTTTTAAAAAATGAAATTGAAAACGTTGCCCAAAATGATGACTCCATCCTACTATGGTTGTATGGATTCCAGATATAAATCTGATAAGAAGTCATCTAGAAAGGATGCTAGAATTAGATTTTACTGACTGTTGCTTTTAGATTGGATGAGTTTATAGAATTTTTAATTATATACCCAAATACACTGGAACTTGGTTTCTGCCAGGTAAAACCATTTCTAAAAGGTATCAAAACTTTTTCAGTGCAGTAAATGTTCACATAGTCCTTCGATAGTATTCAATTCTCAGGGCTAATAAAAAATTAATCATTACAGCCCAGTTTGGGGAGGGAGTAGGTGGTTAGGGAGTAGAAGTGGTCAGGGAATGAGCCTAGACATAGCAAACAAAGGGCAGGATAGATGAGTCCTTCTTAGAATGGGGAGGTATAAAGAACAGATTCTCCAGGGATGAGAGTTTGGACCTGTTTGTTAAGGATCGTTTTAAATTATCTGGAAGAAGGCATTCACAGTGAAATCATGAAGTTGTTGATTTGCCAGAAGTTTCCAGTGGGGAAGAAGGAGTCCCGCAGCCGTGTCCAGAACGCAGGGCAGTATTACAATTCTGTACACGTGGCTAGAAAAGTAGCAGCTGCGTTTTGCCAATGGCAAATGTAGAGACCAAAAATTCAAATTGCTTATGCAAAATAGAATGGGCTTGGACTCATTGTTGACATCAGTCCTACATTTTGCTGGAGTCTCAAGGGGCAGTAAAATTGTTGCGTATTATTGGAGAAACAGCAACAAAATAGAAACATGTATTTATGTAAAACTGTGATACAGCAAGGATACCAGATTCTTAAGTCCTAATATGAGAGGGCACCAGAGGGAGATCAATTCTGAGACAAATCAAAGCCCTATTTGACTAGGTGATTGTGAATTTGTGTACAACTTTTTAGCTCGATTGAAAGATAATTGACATGATACCATATAGGTTTAAAGTGTGCAATGATGATTTGATGTATGTATATATTGCAAAGTGACTGGCACAATAACATTAGTTAACACATCCATTACTATTTTTTGGATGTGGTAAGAATTTGTTGGGTTGTGGTGAGAATTTTTAAGATCTATACTCAGCACCTCTCAAGTATATCAAACAGTATTGTTAACTCTGGCCCTATGCTGTGCGTTAGATCCCTGGAACTTACTCATCTAACAGCTGGAAGTTCATATCCATTTCTCCCAACTCCTGTCCCTGGCAACTACTCTTTACTCTCTATTTTTATGAGTTTGGCTTTTTAAAATTCCACAAATAAGCAAGAGCATACGGTGTTTGTCTTTCTTTGTCTGCCTTATTTCGGTTTGCATAATGCCCTCCAGGTCCATGTGGTTGCACACGGCAGGATCTCCTTCTTTCTTATGACCAAATGATATTGCATGTGTGTGTATGTGTGCACGCACATGTGTGTGCGTATCCCATCACATCTTCTTTATCTGTTTGTCCATGGATGGACACTTAGGTCACTTCCATGTCTTGGTTGTTGTAAATAATGGGCAGTGAGCAGGGGCGGGGCTGGGGGAATACAGATATCTTTTCAAGATAGTGGATTTTACTTCCTTTCGGTGTATACCCAGAAGTGGGATTCCTGGATCACATGGTAGTTCCATTTAAAATTTTTTGAGGAACGTCCATACTGTTTTCCACAATGCTGGCACCAGTTTATATTCCCAACAACCATGCACAAGGGTCCCCTTTCCCCATCTTCTTACCAGCACCCATCTCTTGTCTTCTGATGACAGCCATTCTATCAGGTGTGACGTGATACCTCGTTGTGGCTTTGATTTACTTTTCTCTGATGATGAGTGATGTTGACCTTTTCATATACCTCTTGGCTGTTTGTGTGTATTTTTTGGAAAAATGTCTGTTCAGATCTCGTGCCCATTTTTAAATCAGAGAGTTTGGGTGTGTTTTTATTTGTTTGTTTGCTATCGAGTTGTATGAGTTCCTTATGTATTTTGGATATTAATCTCTTATCAGATATATGATTTGTTGCATATTTTCTCCCTTTCCATACATTGTCTTTCGGCTCCCCACCGAGCAGAAAGCCCGATGTGGGGCTCGATCCTGGGACCCTGGGATCATGACCTGAGCAGAAGGCAGAGGCTTTAACCCACTGAGCCACCCAGGTGCCCCATGCTATGCAGAAGCTTTTAAGTTTGATACAGTCTACTTGTTTATTTTTGCTTTTTTTTTTTTGCTTGTGCTTTGAGTGTTATATCTAGAAAGTCATTGCCAAGACCAACGTCAAGGAGCCTTTCCCTTATGTTTTCTTTTAGGAGTTTTATGGTTTCAGGTCTTACATTTAAAACTTTCCATTGGAGTTATTTATTTATTTTTTTTAAGATTTTTATTTATTTATTTGACAAACAGAGATCACAAGTAGGCAGAGAGGCAGGCAGAGAGAGAGAGGAGGAAACAGGCTCCCCACTGAGCAGAGCCCAATGCAGGCCTCCATCCAGGACCCTGGGATCATGACCTGAGCGGAAGGCAGATGCTCAACCGACTGAGCCACCCAGGCGCCCCTGGAGTTATTTTTTGTGAGTGATATAAGATAGGGACCCAGTTTAATTTTTTTGGTTGTGCATATACAGTTTTCCTAGCACCATTTATTGAAGAGACTATCTTTCTCCCATTGAGTATTCTTGGCTCCTTTGTTACCAGGGTCTTATGTGATTCCATATGAATATTAGGATTATTTTTTCTATTTCTAAAGTGCCATTAGAATTTAGATGGCTACAGAGGGCTATAGGTGGCATCTGTAGATGGCTTTGGGTAGTATATACATTAAAAAAAAAAAGATTTTATTTATTTGAGAGAGAGAGAGAGTGTACAAGCAGGCAGAGGGGCAGAGTGAAAGGGAGAAATTGACTTGCTGCTGAGCAGGGAGGCCAACATGGGGCTTCATCCCAGGACCCTGGGATCATGACCTGAGCCAAAGGCAGATGCTTAACCGATTGAGCCACCCAGATGCCCCAAGATAATATGGACATTTTAACAAATTCTTCCAGTCCATGAACACAAAGTATCTTTCCATTTATTTGTGTCTTCAATTTCTTTCATCTGTGTCTTACAGTTTTTAGTGTACAGATCTTCTAATTCCTTGGTTAAATTTATTCCTAGGTATTATTTTTGATGCTGTTGTGAATGGTACTATTTTATTTCTTTTTCAAAATCTTCATTATTATTATAGAGAAATATAGGGGCACCTGGGTGGCTCAGTTGGTTGGGTATTGGACTCCTGATTTCAGCTCAGGTCTTGATCTCAAGGTCATGTGTTCAAGTCCCTCATTGGGCTCCACACTTGGCATGGAATCTACTTATAAAACACACACACACACACACACACACACACACACACACACACACACAGGGGCGCCTGTGTGGCTCAGTGGATTAAGCCCCTGCTCTAGCTCAGAACATGATCTCAGGGTCCTGGGATCGAGTCCCCCATCAGGCTCTCTGCTCAGTGGGGAGCCTGCTTCCCCGCTCTCTCTGCCTACTTGTGATCTCTCTCTCTTTCTCTGTCAAATAAATAAATAAATAAAAATCTTTAAACACACACACACACACACCCCACAAACACAACAGATTTTTTAATATATTAATTTTGTATCCTGTAACTTTACTGAAGGTGAGTGTTTTGGGTTTTCTATGTATAATATCATGTCATCTTGCAAATAGTGACAGATTTTACATCTTCCTTTCTGCTTTGGATGCCTTTTGTTTTTTTTTTCTTGTCTGATTGCACTGGCTAGGATAGTACTGTATTGAATAGGAGTGCTGAGAGTGGGCACTCTTGTCTTATTTCTGATTTTATTTATTTATTCCCCCCTCCCATTTTATTTACTTATTTGACAGAGAGAGGGAGAGACACAGTGAGAGAGACAGCACACAAGCAGGTGGAGTGGGAGAGGGAGAAGCAGTCTTCCTCCTGAGCAGGGAGCCTGACGGGGGGCTCGATCTCAGGACCCAGGAATCATGACCTGAGCTGAAGGCAGATGTGTAATGACTGAGCCACCCAGGCACCCCTTGTTTCTGATTATATAGGAAAAATTTCAGTTTTAGCTCTGGGTTTGTTATATATGGCCTTTCCTATGTGGAGATATGTTCCTTCCACACTCAGTTTGTTGCTGGTTTATATCTTGAGTGGAAATTGAATTTTGTCAAATTCTTTTCCTACATCTGTTTAGATGATCATATGATTTTTATCTTTCATTTATCAATGTAATATATCAAACTTACTGATTGACTTGTTGAACCATCCTTGCATTTCAAGGATGAATCCCACTTGATCATAGTGCATGATTTTTTTTTTTTAAGATTTTACTTCTTTATTTTAGAGAGAGAGAGAGAGAGAGAGAGAGTGTGCAAGAGAGAACACGAGTGCAAGTGATGGAAGGAGCAGAGGGAGAGGGAGAGAAAAAGAATCCTGAGCAGACTCTGTGCTGAGCCTGGAGCCTGATGTGGGGCTTGATCTTACAACCCTGAGATCATGACCTGAGCCAAAACCAAGGTTCAGGTGCTTAACCAACTGAGCCACCCAGGAGCCCCATGTTGCATGATCTTTTGAATGTACTCTTGCATTTGGTTTGCTCGTATTTTGTTGAGAATTTTTGCATCCAATTCATAAGAGATATTGCCTTGTGGGGTGTTTTTGTTTGTTTGTTTGTTTTTGTTTTTAGTATCCTTAGTAGACTTTGGTATCATGGTAATATTGGTCTCATAAAATGAGTTTGGGAATGTTCCCTTCTCTTGTTGTTTTGGAAACATTTGAGAAGGATTAGTATTAATTCTTTGAATGTTTTATAGAATTCGTCAGTGAAACCATCTGGTCCTGGGTTTTTTGGGGGGAAGTTTTTGATTACTGATTCAGCCTTCTTAATTCTTTTTTTTTTTTAAAGATTTTATTTATTTATTTGACAGACAGAGATTACAAGTAGGCAGAGAGGCAATCAGAGTGAGGAGGAAGCAGGCTCCCTGCTGAGCAGAGAGCCTGATGTGGGGCTCGATCCCAGGACCCTGGGATCATGACCTGAGCCGAAGGTAGAGGCTTTAACCCACTGAGCCACCCAGGCGCCCCCAGCCTTCTTAATTCTTATTGGTCTGTTCACATTTTCTGTTTCTTCCTGATTCAGTCTCAGTAGGTTGTGTTTCCAGGAATTTATCCATTGCTCCTGGGTTATCCAGTTTGTTGGTGTGTAATTATTTAAAGTATTCTTTTATGATCCTTTGTGTTTCTGTTACCTGTTGTAGTGTCTCCTCTTTCATTTATAACTTTCATTTGAGTCCTCTTTTTTCTTTGTTGGTCTAGCTGAAGATTTATCAATTTTGCTTCTTTTCAAAGAGCCAATGCTTCGTTTTGGTAATTTTTCCTGTTCTCGATTTTATTAATTTGTGCTCTGATCTTTATTATTTTCTCCCTTCTGCTAACCTTGGACTTAGGTTTTTCCTCTTTTACTTAGGTCCTTGAGGTGTAAAGTTAGGTTTTTTTTTTTTTTTAAGATTTATTTATTTCAGAGAGAGAGCGCGAGAGAGCGTGTACTATGAGCAGACTAGAGGAGGGAGGGTCAGAGGGTGAGAGAGAATCTGAAGAAGGCTCACGACTGAGTATGGAGCCTGATGTGGGGCTCGATCCCACAACCCTGAGATCGTGACCTGAACTGAAATCAAGAGTTGGATGCTTAACTGACTGAGTCTCCCAGATGCCCATGTTTTTTACTTGAGAGAATCTCGTTTTTCTTAATGTATGCATTTATAGCTATAAACTTCCCTCTTAATAACTGCTTTTGGTATATCCCATAAATTTTGGTATGTTGTATTTCTGTTTTCATTTGTCTCGATATTTTTAAAATTTCCTTTTCAATTTGTTCTTTGGTCTAATGGTATTTTCAGGAGTGTGCTGTTTAATTTCCATGTGTTTGTGAAATATCTAGCTTTCTCCTATTATTGATTGTATTTTCAGACTGTTGTGGTCAGAAAAGATACTTGATATAATTTCTGTTGTTTTGAATTTGTTGAGACTGTTTTGTGGCCTAACATATGGTATATCCTAGAAAATGTTCCATGGGTGCTTGAGGAGAATGTGTTTTCTGTTGATACTGAATGGCATGTTCTGTAAATGTCTGTTAGGTTCCTTTAGTCTATAGTGTTGCTCAGATCTGCTGTTCCCTTACTGATTCTCCATCTATGTGATTTATCAGTTGTTGAGAGTGGGGTGTTGAAGAATTTATAATCCCGAGAGCAGTGGTTCTCAAGTGGTGGTGATTTTATGCCCCCTGCCGGTGCATCTGGCATGTCTAGTGACATTTTTGGTTGTCACAGCTGATGAGGGAGGTGTGGCTGTTGGTACTGGCATCTAGTAAGTGGTGGACATTGGTGCTGCTAAATATCCTACCATACTTGGGATGGCCCCCGTCGACCCAAAATGGCAGTAATACCAAGGTTGAGAAGCCGTGCCCTGAAAAAAGAGAAAATGCTGATTCAAGGTGAGATTGGATGAAACCAGGAATAGTTTCTGAGAACCAGGGATGCATGTAGCCCTTATGATTCATGTTGGGAGGACAGCAGCATTCTGCCATGACAGGCTGGACGTGGCCGGTCTCAACTGAAGACTTCGTGGCCTTGGCCAGCTCTGTCTTCTCTGTGTTCTACTTCCCCATTTGTCTCAGGGACTATTTTGAGCAAGATGAGACACATTTGTTATTCTGTACAGAGTAACATTCATTGTCCCTCTTCCCATTGAAAGAGCATCGTGGGGATTCTGGGGTCCAGAATGGTGTCACAAGCTCATTAGGAGCATTGGAATGAATCCTGAATAACACAGTCAAGACCGAGTGCCCTGAGCCAGGGCATCTGGGAATAGGAGCTTCAAAAATGCTAATGGTTTCTGTTATCTTTCAGATGGTCAACGTGTCAAGGCTAGAGGGAGAAGACAATCCTGTGCAGCTCATCTACTTTGTGGAGGATCAAGATGGAGAAAGACTCAGTGCAGTCAGGTCTTCAGATCTGATTAACAAGATAGATATCCAGAGAGCAGCCATTATCTTGGGTTACCGCATTCAAGGTGCTGTTGCCCAACGTAAGTGTGTGACACATAGACCCTAAGTGCTGTCTGTGCTGTGCTGGCATCAAAAGCCAGGTTTGGTGTTTTTTTTTCCCTTAACAATGAAATCTGAATTTAAAGCATTCTTGTGTGCATAGAGTAATGTCTTAAACCCTTATTATTTATTAAGTGGCACTTGTATAAAATGTCATTTTTAATTTTTATTTTATTTTATTTTTAAAGATTTTATTTATTTGACAGAGATCACAAGCAGGCAGAGAGGCAGGCAGAGAGATGGAGGAGGAAGCAGGCTCCCTGCTGAGCAGAGAGCCCGATGCGATGCGGGGCTCGATCCCAGGACGCTGGGATCATGACTTGAGCCAAAGGCAGAGGCTTTAACACACTGAGCCCCCCAGGGGCCCCTAAAATGTCATTTTTAAAAGAATTTTTAAGTATTTGAGAGAGAACAAGCAAGAGAACATGAGTGGGGGGAGGGGCAGAGGGAGAGGGAGAAGCAGGCTTCCCACTGAGCAGAGAGCCAGAGAGCCCCCCCCACCAGAGCCCCCCTGGGCCCCCCCCCCCTCCAGTCCCTGAGAGTCCCCCCTCCAGAGTCTGAGGTAGGGCTTCATCCCAGGACCTTGAGATGCCTTACCAACTGAGCCATCCCAGTGTCCCGAAATGTCAGTTGTTAAAATTTACTTGCCAAGTCCTTTATTTCAGCTGCTTGTACTTGTAGCCTGCACAGCTGTTCTCCTATCCAGCATTTTGTATCCAGGTTAGAGCGAGTTACCTTAAGTTAACTGTAATAATTTTTCCCCTACTCCTGTACTATTTCTCTTTTAAAAAAATTTTGTCTTACGTAAAATAACTTGTTTTCTCTGTATTTATTCCGAAATCTTGTCTGTCATATTTTGAACGTTGGTGGGGACAGTTAGTCACACAGGAAGCTGGGAGGTACCCTCTGCATTTATTGGCTTCCTGATGAGTTTTGCAACACAAAGAAGTCCTTGATCCTTACCCGGTTCAGTGCTGTTTCTCTCCCTCCCTGTCCTCGCAGTACTTCACAATTTAGAAAGAGGTATTTTGATATTTCTGTATTATTGTTGGAAGATACTTGGCTCTTGCCCCCAGCAGCGGTTGCTCCCAGTGCCTTAGTTTTCAACTCCCAGATTCTGGGCATTTAAAATTAAGAAAACAGAGAGACACAGAAGAGTGTCTTTCTCTAAATGTTCGTTTATGAACCAGATGGCTCTTTTAACGTGGACGCTTTTGCCTGTGAGCCAGAGAGCAATCCTTGTAGGAGCTCGGCAATATTTGCTCCCAACAGTAAAGGGATAAGTAAGTGTTTAGAAGGAATGGAGCATCAGAAAATACTGAAAAGTTCTTTACAAAGAACACGTAGGCCGCAAAGGCACCTTTATAAAATGACAGCTTCACGGTGATCCTCGGTAACGGAAGGCTCTTTGTGACCTCTGTACTTGTCCCTGGAAACTAAGCAGGGCCAGGGCTCGAGGGCACGCTTTGTCTAATTCACAGAAGATGATGCGGAGAGTCTAAGCAAACAGTCCATTGGTGGTTTGTGTATTTGAGATATGAGTGTATATTAGTGTGTTCTGTTTCAAAGCAGTGAGAAAAAAATAACGAAGCACGTACTTATATGTCTTCATTGAGGACGTCTCTGATTGTAGGAGAGGTGCCCCAGTCCAGCTAAGCCTCTGAAAGAAGATGAGTTACTCTAGGGTGTTACCTTTTGAAGCTCCTTCCCTCTGTTTTTTGCACCTCTCTTCCCTCAGTTTCCTGCTAAAAACCACTGGATAAAGATCTGAGGGATTGGAAGCCTCAGCCGGCATCAGGCTCAGCCCTGGGCAGCTGTAGGCCCTGGTAGCTGGGCCTGCTTTGGTCCATCTGTGCCCCTCCCAGGTGTTCCCAGGTCAGAACTAAGAAGAGCATCCGGTTGTCACAGCTCCTTGGTTTGATTCTGTCCCTCCCGTATTGTCCGTTTTCATGCAAAATGAGCTACGTGTATAGACGCTCTTCAGGCCAAATTTAAAAATAAGATTAATACTTTGTCCCTTTTTCCATTTCCCACGTGGTCCCTCCTGTGTAATTTGTGCCTCCTCCATGGCGCTCAAGCTGTGGACTGCTTGCTCGGCTCCCTGGTCTCTCAGAGGCTGGAGCCCACATGTACACCAGCGCCGAGAATCTTTTCTGTTGTTACATCTTTGAGCAGAAACATTTTGATCCCATGGCAGGTGCTAACCATCATGGAATATGAAAAGAGCATAATACTTAGCCCCTGCCCCTGGAGACTGAACTGTATTTGAAAAGACAAGACTCAGAGTCATGACCGTATTAATGAGTAAAGTGTGCTGTATCGAGAGGACAACATTTATGTAATAAAATGCACTTTAAAATAGTAAGATACCGGGGCGTCTGGGTGGCTCAGTCGGTTAAGCATCTGCCTTCAGCTCAGGTCAGGATCTCCAGGTCCTGGAACTGAGCCCAGCATCCGGCTTCCTGCTCAGCAGGAGTCTGCTTCTCTCTCTGCCTCTGACCCTCCCCACTGCTCGGTTTCTCTCTTTCTTTCTCAAATAAATAAAATCTTTGGAAAAAGAAAATAGTAAGGTGCCATTTATAAGGCAAAGGCCCCCAGGACAAAACAACTTAGGCAAGGAGGAAACTCGCCTTCTCCCAGAGCAGTTTTTATGAAGTGGTGATAACGGGTGAGAAGGTTGGGCAGAGGGGAGGGGGACATTTTGGTAATTGGAACCTGAGCTTTAAGAGGAGCTGAGTCCTTTGAGAGGATGAGCGCAGAATGAAGAAGACGAGGGCCCAGGACCGGGAGGGGAGGTTAGGGAAAGGAGCTGGTAAAGGAGAGGAAGGCAGAGCCCTTGGAGCTTGTTCCTCCAAGGCCATGGAAGCTGGGAGGCTGCAGCAGTGGTCAGCGTTGGGGCTGGGGGGGAGGTGTTCAGGAGGGTGGGGCGGGGCAGACTCTGAGTAAGTAAGTTGGAGGTCATATAATGTTTAAACTGACACCTGGTACCTTAAATCTTGTTTCAGGAATTTAGAGAGATACACAGGTGAAGAAGTTAAGGCAGCGTTCGTAGACTGTTTATGGGGATTTCTGACTTTTAGTATGGAAACGTTCCTGCAGTGAGATTAGGGCAGAGCCAGTGGGGTACCTGGGAGTCAGGAGACCTGGACTTAACCTAGCTCTGGTCCCTTGGGCATTGAGGTTGTAGTCTTCTAGGCAGTGTTTCTGGCCATCAGGAGATCGCAGAGTCTAACCATTTGCCTCGACCTGAAATGACAAAGAGCTTCCAGGTTTCTCGTAGAAGAAGTCACATTCCCTGCACAGGCGGGCCGTCAGGGAAGTGAGTGCAGAGCAATTAGTGAACAGCCTGTCTTCCCTCCCTGCAGCCTTGGACAGAGTGAAGAGGCCGTCCCCCGAGTCCCAGAGCAGCAACCTCTGGGTCATTGTGGGCGTGGTCATTCCAGTGCTGGTGGTCATGGTGATTGTCGTCATCCTGTACTGGAAACTCTGCCGCACGGACAAGCTGGACTTCCAGCCTGACACGGTGGCCAGCATCCAGCAGCGCCAGAAGGTGAGAGGGTGAGCCACAGCCTGCACGCAGGCGGTCTTACGGGCTGGGGTATGCCGAGCTCAGGCTCTCGATGCTCAGTGGTGGGACAGAAAGCTGATAGGGACACTTTTTTGGCTTCAGTGGTGGTACCTCTTTGTCTCACATTTGCTTACTGGAACCACAATTCTTCTGTAGTCTTAATTATAGGTGGAGAAGATGAAGCCGTATCAAGGCTTAGCCATGTCACGAGTGCCGAGTTCTCCTGAAATTTCATTTATGAAATGATTAATTCAAAGATCACATCCATTTTTGTATGAATTCTGATCTATACTCACCCTGGGTATTTTCAAAGAGCAGGAGCCAAAGGAGGTTTTCTCAGATCTGTGTGTCTCTCTCTTTCGTACACGGTTCCACTGGACAGCTCCTTTAGTTTCCGTCTACCATATCGGAAAGCCACTGTGCGCCTTGATCAAGACCAACTAATCATTAGAAAAATGATACTATACTCCTTAAATATTTTAATTTAAATATATGAGTGGGTCTGTATTCACCAGTCTTTTGATGTACCCCGAGTCTTTTTTCTTTTTTTTTTTTAAGATTTTATTTATTTATTTGACACAGAGAGAGAGACAGCGAGAGAGGGAATATAGGCAGGGGGAATGGGAGAAAGAGAAGCAGACTCCCCACTATGCAGGGAGCCCAATGCAGGGCTTGATCCCAGAACTCTTGGATCATGACCTGAGCTGAAGGCAGACACTTAATGACTAAGCCACCTAGGCGCCCCTGAGTCCTTTTTTTTTTACATTTTATTTTTTGGACTGTTGGTTTACTCAGAGGATTTTGTTTGGTTTTTCTTGTAAGAAACAACACACCTAGGGGTACCTGGGTGGCTCCGTCCTTTAAGGGTCCAACTTGATTTAGGCTCAGGTCATGATCTCAGGGTCGTGAGACCGAGTCCCACATCAGGGATACCAACATCGGGCTCTGTCCCACACCCGAGATACCAACGGAGGCTGCTTGTGATTCTCTCTCTCCCTCTCAAAACCAAAAATTAAAAAAATTAAAAAACAACACCAAAATGCACCAGCTGCAGTTTCCAGTGTGGGTTTCTTTGGAGAAGAGCGAGCAACCTGAGTGTAAAATTCCCTGGGTTTTTTTTCCCCCGATCCCACCCCAACTCTGTAATCTTCTAGAGCTCATTCACTTACACCTAATTTGACAGCAGGGGTTTTTAAACATCTTTTTCATGTCGTACCAAAGCATCCCATTTAGTTTTCATAATACTAGCAGTTCTCACTTGTATGTTTCCATGATTTCTGCAATCTTGAACTGTCACATACCAGCTTCAGAGCAAAGACATTAAGTTATGGTAAGCATCGAGTTTTAGTTGGTCTGGTGTGAGCGGAAGAAACCTGACAAACCTTGATGGAGAACGCAGTAGCCGTTCACCTCTAGTATATCAGGGGACGGGCCGTTACCAAGGGGATGGAAAGTGGTAATCGTCCACTGTGTGTGAATGTGCCCCCTCCGTGGGTCTCACACATTTAGAGGAATGTACTTGACTCTGGAACTTTGATAAGAAAAAGCAAGGAAGAGGGAGAAGAACAAGAGATAAAAGGTTGTCTGTTAACTTTTTCGATTTATTCTGTCTGGTTCTAAAAAATTCTGCCCTTTACAAAGGTTTGTACAAAAAATTCTGCCCTTTACACCTGCTGAGTAAAAAAAAGTAAGCATTCTGAATTTATTGTACTTTGTAAAAGTAAATGAAGAGTATTCCTTTTCTTAGGAATTAGGTAAAAATGCAAAATCGTGACTAAATTGGAAGTGGGTGGTTATCAAGTGTATTGGAAGCATTTTGTACATTAACATTATATTTATTACCTATCTCCATCTATTATTTACAGAGTGTGCTAGATTGTTTTGTTCTTAGACAAGATAGTGCTGTGGAAAACCCTGGGAAAAGTGCTGGAGGTACTAAATCATTCATAGTGTGAATTTCATTTTACTAAGATCAACAGTGAGTTTGGAAATGTTTTTGTTCTGGTGAAAGAGTGTGGTTGCAGAGAGCGATGCCCAGTGTAGATGGTTATGTATTCAGGTCTTTCATGTTCCAGGTTCCCTAATGTAAACACTCCCTGGGAAAGCCCATCTATCATCTGTTACTTCATGCAAATGTCAAAGGACAGCATCCCTTGAGTTCAAAACAGGATGCTCCCCAAGTTTTCTCCTTCTCTCACTTTTACTGCCAAAATATCTTCATGCACCAGATGTTGCTGTAAATCAGATGGACAGAGGGGTGCCTGGGTGGCTCAGTCGTTAAGTGTCTGCCTTCGACTCAGGTCATGATCCCAGGATCCTGGGATCAAGCCCCATATCGGGTTCCCTGCTCGGCGGGAAGCCTGCTTCTCTCTCTCCCACTCACCCTGCTTGTGTTCCCTCTCTTGCTGTCTCTCTCTCTCTCAAATAAATAAATAAAATCCTTAAAAAAAAATCAGGGGGACAGAGTTTCAAATAGAACTCCAGCCCTGGGGTTGCTCTTGCTTTGCGTGTGTTGGAGGATCTTTACAACATATTTGTCAGAAGGTTTTCCGTGTGGCAGAGTTCCTGGGGAGTCCGCGTCTTCTGACCTGGGTGGGGGGCCTGACCTCCGTGACATTTCGGAAGGGTGGTCCCTGCTTCGCTGGCACAGGAGACTACCGTATAGATTCTGTCGTGTGTTTATAATGGGAAAAGGATGATCTCCGTTTAGTTGAGAATCAGATCTCTCCTTCGCTAGTGTTTCTTCTAAGATTTACCCAGCAGTAGTGAAGGGTCTCGATCTAGCCCATCCCTTGGGACGATTTGAAAAGGTGCTAGTTTCCCCTGGGACTTCAAGACTTCTTTTTCCTTCTGGTCCGGCTCTCTGTTGTCTCCGTGTTCTGCTCACCCTGCCCCCTTGCTACTGCCTCGCTGCTCCTCTCCCAGGTCCTTGAGCTCAGTAATCCCAGAGCTACCAACATCGCAGACAATACCCGTGCCCACCAAAAAACCCACACCCCCTGCCCCCTGTAATGAGCAGGAAGCCTCTTCGGATTGGCTGGGAGTGGATTAGTTTGATCACATGATAAGAGGGAGAGGCCATTCTGTCACATTTTGAGACAGGGGCCTTTTTTATTTCCAATCATTAAAAAAACAAATCTAACCCTTATCTTTCATCTGGAGTCTCTTTAAAGTCATCCCCGTTTACTGGTCTCAGGAAAACGGCAGCCGGACCCACCTCGTCCTGTTGAGGTTCTATTTGAAGAGATGAATGGCATTGGCTAGATGCCGCTGGTCCTGTAACACTTGTTCCTTCCCCTGGGGAAGGCTCCACGGGCGTTTCTCCCCATCTCAGCCAAATTCATCTCATCCCCCGTGGCCGGGTTGCCCTTTGAGTGTCTGCAGGGACCCCGTGGCACCTAATAGGTGGAAGGTTCAGTTCACCAGCAGTCCCTTGGCTGCGATCTGCTGCAGCCCCCGGGGGCAGCAGAGTCTTGGGGTTCTGCAGGGTGACCGAGGCCCGACGGCAGAGCAGACACAGGCATAACGACACCCTGCCCCCGCCTTCCGCGTGGAAGCAGCACGGCGACTGTGGAGTCGTCCACGGATCTCATCCGTCCAGTAAGAAATGGGAAGACAATGCCGCTGTCTTTGAGATGGCAGAGGTTTCCTTGGGCGCCTCTGGGGTCTGCTCTGTGACTTCTGTTGTCATCTTAACTGCTCCTTCCCAGGGCCTCTGGCTCCCCGGAGGGCTGGAGACTTGCTCCATCTTGTTCCACCTGGGTTTAAAGCTCACGTGCTTTAAAATTCATCAGGCATCTCTCCTGTTCTTTGGCTGACCTGCTTTACCTGCCTGCTCTGACTTGCTGGCGTCGTTATTCCAGTGGAGCACGGACAATCGGGCTGTCCCCTCTGTGACATATTAAAGAGAGAAGGAACAAAAGAGCCATCTTTCCTCAGAAATAAGGGGTCCTAATGGAAATATCGAAGGCACTAATTAATTGTGGCTCTTCTTTTATAAAATACTGATTGAGGCTTATTCCGCATGTGGAAGCTGGGGACACAATACAGCCAGACTTAATACTAGATTTTTTTTTTTTTTTTTTAAGAAATGGAAAAGCTAGAAAAAGCATTCTGGAAAGTAAGGATGAAACAAAAGGAGCTAATTCCATGAGAGGGCAAGATTTTCTTTAATTTCTTCCTTCTGGGTGTTCTAAGATAGCAGAAGCACAGAGTAGTCACCAGATTTCTATTGTTGTACAAGGTGGAGACTCACTGCTGGTGAGAATTGCAAGGATCTAATGGAGATATTTGACGATGTTAGTGGGAATTAACAATAAACCCACAGGGCTTCGATGGCCATGTCTTTTATGGATGACGTATACCCTTTTTCATGGCTCTCCACAAGAGCCAGCAAGTTTGAAGCTTCAGTTGACTTTTAAAAATTCATTTAGTCATCCAGTATTTACAGATGGTCTACCGTGTGTCACACCCTGTTGCTGAATTATAAAATTTTGTATCTGACGTCCTAGCTTTTATCTGATAGCTGAGAATGCGTAGGTATTTATAATAACTGCCAACAGCAAAAATAATGAAGCATTTGACACATACATACGCTTGTTTCTTGCACAAACCCTGGCACATTTGTCAGGGTAGACCAGTTGTATTAACTCCCTGGGCTTTGGGTACGCTGACTGCACACAGAGGTAGAGCTGTTTTATTTTTCCCTCATTCACTTGGAGACCTCTGCTTGGAGGAGGCGATCTGCAGCTCCTCCTTCAATTTTGGTAAAGCAGACCATCTGCCTTGCAACACTGATTGTCTCTTGGTCATTGGAGGCATTTAGTTTCTTGATGGGAAATAGACTAAAAAAGATTATACCACATTTTATTAAATGGCATGGATGGTGTTGGCTCGGTGATCATTGATTATGCTTGTGATTCTTTCATTCAGGGACCGCTGGTTTAGGGAGCTGCCACGAGGTGCCCCTGGGTAAAGGCTCCTGTGTGGGTGAGGGGGCGCCTCTCCTGTAAAGCAGGAGAAGGACCCTTAGAACAGGGGGCAGGAGCGGGGAACACGATGCCCAAGACTACAGGCACGCCCTTGGGAAAATCACTGGTGATGGTAAAGAGAGTACACAGAGCTTGTCCGTCTGGACGTTGACGGTCTCAAAGTGGCTGCATGCCCCTAGGAAGACGAACACCCCCAGGGATTCAGGGAGCCCAGCTGAAGGTCACAGTCTGTGGAGGAGGAGATCGACTTATCCTGAGTGTTTGGAAGGGAGGGGGAACCAGAGGGCGGCAGGTTTGGGTTCATATTCATGGAAGAGTGTTTCTGAGCCAAGGACTGTGGTGGAGTTGCTTGGCCTTGTCACATGATAATCATTAATTTAGAAAATACAGCCACACAGGGTCTTTACCTTTTGTTTCCAAGCCACATCTTTGTAAACCACACTTCTAGTAAGTTTTGTCCCCCTCTGCTGGCAGAAGTCTTCATTGCAAACGCCTTCCCCTCTCTTCTTGTGGTGCTTAAAAGACCTTCAAGATCACCAACAGAAGCCCCAGGTGCTGTCACTCATTTGGCATAAAATTAACACAGATATGGCAAAAACCTTTTGCTTCTACCTAACACATTGTCTAAAATAACTCCTTAGGTTGGTTTGGTCTTTGTCTTTGACAGATGGACTGTCTCTAGGGGTGGAATGCCACTTGGCTAAGGGCTCCGGTTGTGCTGTGGCCTTCTTTCCAAGGAGGCCATTGGGACAATTCCTGAAATGCAGTTGAGTTTCCTCTACCTGTAAGCTCAAATGAATGACGCACAACCCCTCCCCCCTACACTTTTAGTGTTGCACAAAGTGAGCCTCATCATTGTTGCCCGCAGTTCTCTGTACTTTTAAGCACCTTTCCTGTGATTGTGCAGGAAACTGGAAGCCGAGATCTGGGCTCCATGGTGACAGGGTTCTGGGTTGTGGGTTTGGTGTAACTCTGGTGTATCTCAGGTAGGACTTCTGTGACCCCCAGTGTGAGAGGTGGGGCTTTTTTGAAGACCCCTCTCTCCTTCCTCCTCGTGCCCCCAGGACTTCTGTTGGCCACTTGTTTCTAGAAATTCTCTATCCTCTTGCCTTCTGTTACATCGAACTTTACAAATTCTTTTCTTTGAGGTTATCTATTTTTTCCTTGCCTCCTTTTCCTCCTTTGAGCCCCAAACTATTAGATGTTCCCCAACATTTTATCCACAGACTCTGTTTTCATCTTGAAAAATCTGAGGAAAAAAAAAAAAAAAGAAAAGTCTCAGGTCCCCTACCTGTCCTCTTCTATACAGATTCTCTCAAAGTCCTGTCTCCATCCCGAAATTCCCCCCAAGCTATTGTCCTCCGTGTCCAGCTACATGGGGCTACTCTCCTTTGGAGCTTTTTCTGCCATCTCCAACTAAGCGTGTCTAAAGTGAAACCCGTCTTTTTATCTCCTCAGGTTACCATCCTTTCATGATGAATGTCCCTTCCCCTGCTCAGGACGCCTGCCTAGAAGTCATTCAAGTCATCACTGGCTGCTTTCCCTCCTTTGCCTCTTGTGTCTATTTTTGGCTTCCAGATCCTTCAGTGCGGTCTCTGGATCTATTCATTCCTTCGCGTTTCCATTGCTAGGGTTTGGGGCTCAGGCTTTTGTCATTTCTTGCGTGGGTACCATTGGCCCTCCGACAGCCCTTTGTGTCCTGTCTGCTTGGATTTTAGAAATCTGCCTCTTCAGAAATATTTCGTGGTTTTCTGCTCTAGAAACTGGCATTTGGTATTGGCCCCCTTCTCCCCCTCCCCACATTCTGACCCTTCTAGGGCAGCTGACGGAACGTCTTCCCAGCCCGGAAGTGTTCTCTGGTCATGATCTAGAACATTCTCTGTGTAGCTGCCCCTTTTCATTTCCAAGTTCTACCTGTCCTGTGAATCCTGTCTCAAGTCTCCATTTCTCTATAAAGAATATCTCGCTCATGCCACTCCCTCTGGAACCGCATAGTGTGTGATCGCACTACTGTGACAGTGGGTCAGGTATCGTCTTGTGATACGATTTGCATTATGGTCTAGCTCTTTGATCCTGTACTCTTCTTTAATCTTTCGCCAGGGTCTGTCTTTTCTGCAAACCCTACTTGTGAACAGCACTGTGCACACAGTTAATGATTTAGCGATGCTCGTTGAATTAGAATGATGGGCTGGCAGGCACGATCTCGGGTCAGAAGTCAGCACTCAGCAGTCTTGCCAGCTCTCACAGTCCTCAGATTTCAGATTGACTGTCTTCGCTTGTGTGTGTGTGTGTGTGTGTGTGTTTTAGTTGCAGATCCCTAGTGTGAAGGGCTTTGACTTTGCTAAGCAGCATCTGGGTCAGCACAATAAAGACGACATCCTGATGATTCACGAGCCAGCACCACTGCCCGGACCTGTGAAGGACCACACCACGCCCTCTGAAAACGGAGATGTGCCGAGCCCCAAGGCCAAGATCCCCTCCAAGAACGTCCGTCACAGAGGAAGGTTCTTATCGGGCTTTCTGTCTTGTTCCCTGTCGCAGAGCATGTTTCCCTCCTCAGTTTTGTCAGTTTCCAGTGTCCCAAGAGCTGATGGTGAGTTTTCCCTGGGTCCGCAGCCCAGGAGACTGGTAGCAGCTTGCCCGAAGTCCACGAACCGGAGGGTTCTTGATCCACGCCAGGGGACCACCGGAGGTGGCCAGATGCTTTGGTGGTGTCCCCCCCCACACCTCGATACTTGATTAGCTCTTGCCTAGCCTGGTGGGTATATTCTGGGGTGATCATTCTGGGCCCCCTGGAGATGGTATCAGAAGAAATGTCTAAAAAGTGCACAACATCATATGCACTCAGCCAGTGGTTGGCTTTGCCTTTGCTGCTGTGCCAGCGGCCAGCTCTGCCTTCATTGCTTTGCCTGCGGGGGACTTTCATCAGATCCTTTTTTCTTTGCTTGCTTTCCCTCTGGCCGCCTGTGTTGTCACCCTCGTTAGCATGTTTCCATGGACTTGGCACCGCCTCCTCCCTGCCCAGCTCCCCATCCCCAGTGTCTTTCCATTCCTCCTATCAAAGGGAAGCAGGCGGAGGGTTGCATGTTAACATGCTACCTGTAAGTCCCCCATCACCCTCTGATCCTAGGAGAAGGGCCATAGCTGGGTGAAAGTTCAGAGTCAGGTTTTATGCAGCTGCCTTCAGATCTCAGCACAATCACACTAGGGTATGGAAGCCTCAAATTATCAGCCTGCCTTTGAGCTTTGAACTCCAAATCTTGATTTCCTGCGAAGAGGGAAGAAATGTGTGATCATACCAACATTTGAAACGCTGTCACAATTTCTGACTTCCCAGAAAACCTACCCTGGGGGGTTCTGGCCTAGTTTTAACAATTTTAATGGATATTACACCACGATCTTTACAAAAGAAAATGAACTATGTAGAGAGATGTTATTTGCTTAATCATCTTGCTGGCTAAGAATAAATCAAATCATTAAAGATTGTTGAATATGTTAGTATAATTTTGCCAGGGTTTTTTTTTTTTTTTTTTTTTTTTTCTCTTCCCTTGGTCATCTCATCCTAAACATTTAGATGCAACATTTCAGTGGTCTGCATGGCTAATGTAGGACTTTAGCATCCCTCAGGGGCCCAGAGAGAAGGGGTGCTAACTGGTTGAGGACTTTGATTAGCCTTATGCAAGCTGGTTCTGTGTCACCCTTGCCTCTTTGATAGGCAGAGTCAAAGCTCAGGGGAGATCGTTGCTTTTGTGTTGTAAGTATGGGCTTCTCCCAGAGCTGTGGGGTTCTGTGGGGTTGACAATAGGACCATCCTGAGTTCTTTGGGATTCTGCAGTCCCCATTGACCTGGAACCGGGCCTGAAAACAGATTTTATGATACAATCTGTGCCAGACTCAGACTGCTAGTCCAGAGCGCTGGTAACTGAGGGACCGTCCTCCAGCCGGCCTTTGGCTTCCTAGCATTTGTTGGAATGCCGCCTGTTGAGCCCTAGAAGCCGTGTGATACTGTCTTCAGGAGGGGACCATGTGCTATCGACGTGTTCCTTAAAGATGGTTTTTGGGAACGGTCTCATTTCTGTCTGTTTTGCCCAGAAGCCTGACTTCCACATCTAAATTAATGGGACCTCTCCCCACCCCCCACCCTGTCCCCCCAGGCCCCTTCCTTTTTCTCTAATGTTTGCATTTGTTTTGTGACTGCAGAGTTTCTCCCTCGGATGCTGACTCTACCGTAAGCGAGGAGTCCGGTGAGAGGGACGCGGGAGACAAGACGCTGGGAGCGGTGAACGAGGTCCAGCCCCACAGAGCTCCACAGAGCGGTCCGTGACTCTTCCCATTCTCCGTGTTAAACGTAGTGATTATGAGATTCCAAGAGGATCAGGTTTTATGCTACTTCAAATGCTAGACACTAAAAAAAAAAAAAAGTCTGCAGGGGGAATATTCATCATCCATGTGGTGAATTTCTCCGCATTGAGTATCACTGCCTAATGTTGAACTGGTGTCTGGATGGGGGCAGGACACCGTGCTAGAGGTTAGGGGATCGCTCAAGTGTGTTTTGAGGTTAATAGCCACGTTCCATTCTAGTTTAGAGTCCTAATGGTTTTCCTTCCCGAAGAACAGAAGAAATCAAATGAAAACCAGAGTCTCAAAAACTACCTCCAGCATTTATGGACCTTCTTGTGATCCAATTCTGGATTTTTCTCAGCTGTCACTGCCAGAAGGTCCTTTATTTATCTGGGTCCAAATGCATTCTGTTTGGTCCTGTTGCGAGAGCCTTCTTCCCACAGGTGGTTCCGTGTGATCGAACGGTGTAGCACATTTGTGTCTGTCATCTGTGGCTTGTTAGGTCTGGAATGAACTTCGTGTCCACCCCAAAGGACTGTACCATAGATCTCACGCTCTATGGTCAGACTAGGCCCACAGGTTCTAACTAGACTTAGGGACACTCTTTGGTGTGATGGTGAGGTCGTTTGGCTTTAGTTTCACAGATTCTGTTAAATGAGTGTGTGAGTACAGCTCTTACATTTGCTGGAGTTTAATTTATATCTCAGGACTCTTTTAGTAATGCAGAGAAGAATGGGATGCCTCAGATACCATTTTTATTTTTTATTTTTTTATTTACTTTATTTTTTTATTAAAAGATTTTATTTATTTGACACAGAGAGAGAGATCACAAGCAGGCAGAGAGGCAGGCAGAGAGAGACGGGGGAAGCAGGCTCCCCGCTGAGCAGAGAGCTCGACATGGGGATCGATGCCAGGACCCTGAGACCATGACCTGAGCCGAAGGCAGAGGCTTTAACCCACTGAGCCACCCAGGCGCCCCTCAGATATAATTTTTAATGCTAATTTTTATACTTAAGCGTTTGTCATCGCAAATTTCTTTGTTTGAAAATGCAATACTGAACGAGCCATATTCTGTCAATGAACAGCTTCTAGTTGGAAGCCAGAGGGCCTGATATGTCACTGTCATGTGTGTAACCTTGTGAGTCCCTCAGCCTTTGGGGCTTCTGTGTGACTAAACTAGCTCATTTTTGAAATTCCTTCCAGCTCCTTCTTGATGTTAAAGAAAACTCCCTTAGAATAAGGGAGGAGTTTTTTTTCTTTGGATTCAGTTTCACAGAATCTTAGAAGTTGTCTAGCACCGTGAAGACAAGTGCTCTGTTTCAGATAGACAGGACTAAAATCTAATTTTGATCCCAGGAAGGAAATATTTGAGGGGGAAAAAAAAAAAAGAATCTGCTCTGGAGTTTCTCCCTTCCTGTTAATTGCTTATCTGAGGAAATCTCACTTTTTGTTCTTACATTTAACTCCCGACAGTTTTGGTGTATTCTGCGTAGGTAACAAAAATCAAAAGTCTCCATCCTCGTATATTCAAAATCCAGGTAGTGAGCACGTCAGGTGTGGGACTGAGTTGCCTGTGGCAGGAGGCAAGTGCCTTCGATGTTTTCATGAGTTCTAGAAGCTTAGCTGCTGCTCTTACGATTTGGAGAGACACCACAGTCTGCACGTTATCTTCATGTTTTAGAAAGATGATTTTCTCACTGTAAATATCAATTCACTTTATTTCTGTAAAGCTGCCGTGAAGGCATTTTATTGCTTTCATAGAACCTAATTAAATACCCTAGAGAAAAGATTGCGAGTTTCTAATCCTAGCTTTTGAATTTTTTTGTAATCATGTAAAAGTCTTTCTTCTGTGGCAAGTCAGTTGCTTGAGAACCATTTGGTTCCCTCCTCCATGTTGCCCTGGGGCCGGTGTCCCCTCTTATCACAGCAGGTGGCATGGCCACTGGGTCCCTTCCCACTCCTTGGCCAGGATTTTGATGGATGTCACAAGTCATCTGACATTTCCAGGACCCACATGGCAGTGATCGCTGAGAAAAGAGCATGGTTTTGGTTTTGGTCCATTAGAGGTCAAGCTTGATTCCCTTCCCAGCTGACTGTTTGTGGAAGGCAGCTGGACCGTGATACACACATGACCGTCCATGGATGGACCTTTATGAGGTTACTGACTCAGATGTCACTGTGTCAGTTATCATGGTTTTAGACTAAGTCACAGCATTACCAGGGGTTCCCTTTAGCAGAGCTGTGGAGAGCGAGATGAGATAGGGAGGTGACGCACCTTCCTCGAGTGAAGGCAGTGGCATTCACAGTGTTACTGTGCCCCCACTGTGCTGTCCTTGTGTAATGCCACATCCCCCACACTTCTGTCAGCAGGAAGCCACCCAATAGGTAAGGACTGTGAAACTCGTGTGTGCAAGAGTGTGATTTTGAAGTAGTTGGAACTTCATTAATAAGACTTGCACAAATTCCGAATTCTAGAATGGAATTCTTAGCTGGAGCTGAGCGGACATCCACTGTGGCTCGTATGAAAGAGTAGGCAAGGCAGGAATGCGTGGTCTGTTGAGTCTCCAACTCTTGGTTTCGGCTCAGGTCGTGATCTCAGGGTCCTTGGATCGAGCCCCGAGTCGGGCTGTGCGCTTGGCAGGGGAGTCTGCCTGAGGATTCTCTCGTCTGCCCCTCCTGCTCGCTTGCCCTCTCTCTCTCAAATAAATAAATCTTGAAAAAAAAAAAAAAAAGGTTTGCAACGCAAATTCATAGTTTTAGAGAGATTGTACAGCAACTGTTTTGAGTGTCTGTCACATCAGAGTTTTCCAGGTAATTGTGGAGTGCTTATTTATGAAATGAGCTGAGGTCATAAATTAGAATTCTTTGTCTCTTTGGGGTAACGTTTTATAAACTTAGTTGAGGTGACTGGTCGTGTAGTCCTGTGTTTAGCAGATGTGCGCTCTGGGACTGGGGTCCGAGGCACTGGGACAGGATGGAGTGGGAGGGAGAGATGGGATCCCTGCCTCACTGGATAGTAACTGGGGGGCCCTGGGCCTTGGTGATGATGCCCTCTGGCTGTATTCACCCACAGATAATGAACTTCGTATTTCTGGAAGTGTCCCATTGCTTCAGCATTTTATTTATTTATTTTTAAAATTTATTATTATTTTTTTAAAGATTTTAGTTATTCATTTGACAGAGATCACAAGTAGGCAGAGAGGCAGGCAGAGAGAGAGGGGGAAGCAGGCTCCCTGCTGAGCAGAGAGCCTGACGCAAGGCTCCATCCCAAGACCCTGGGATCATGACCCGAGCCGAAGGCAGAGGTTTTAACCCACTGAGCCACCCAGCCGCCCCTTGGTTCAGCATTTTAGCAGTGGATACTGCCCTTCCCTCTGTCAGTCTGCTCCATCGACGGTATCCCATACTCCGATTTGTATTATTACAATTTTGTTTTGTAATATTTGAATAGAAATGGGTTTTTATCCAAAGCCTCTAAACTTAACCTTAAGGCAGATTCACACCCATGAATCTGTGTCTCCAGTTGTACTCGCTGTTGGTTATTGTTGTCCAGGTGTTTTTTTTTGTTTGTTTGTTCGTTTTTTTAAAGTACGCAGTACATGGCCAACAATAAAAATAACCCAGTTATAAAATATATATATTAGAAAGGCTGGGTTCTGAGCAGTATGGAAGCTCGATGATTTTCTGGGCTTCTCGTGTGTCTCTGGGTGCAGTGGTGAATTCTAGAACGACGAGCCATGACCATGGCTGGGGGCTGGAACAGGGCCCAGACAGGAGCTGGTCCCAGGCCTGCAGCTTGCAGGTACCCAGGCAGGCACACAGCGCTGCTGGGGTGAGGGGAGGCATTCTTCCTTTGTCATCTGTGTGTCCCGGTCTTTTCCCCCTCTTGGAGGAAAGCAGTCTCACCTTTAAGTGTCAGTAGCTTAATGGCCCCCCCTCTTTGTGACATTTGCTGCTACCTTGTAAGTTTTCTTATAAGTTACAGTTGGCCAGGCTAGACTATGTGGAGAAGCTAATTACCTCCTTTTAGGCATCCTGCCTGTAATCTGAGCAGCGGCCACCAGATGAATGGTGGTGCCCAGCTGTGCTTGTGTTGCACAGATAGGCTCCCTCCCTGCCCAGGGCAGGGAAAGAAAGCCCCAGAATGGCCTGAATCGAGACAACTCTGCCTCCTCGCTACCAGAGGCGTCATTCATTCACAGTTGCAACAACCATTTCTAATCCTGTGGGGTAACGAATGAATGTAATTCACATGGAGAGGAAGTACAAAGACTCACATACCACTGGTGTGCGCGCGTTCGGTATGTCAAACAGCTGCTAATATTTCCTACTGTCTTGTTCAAATCTGTCCTGTTTTATTTATCTTTTTAAGATTTTATTTATTTATTTGAGAGAGACAGAGATAGTGTGAGAGAGCATGAGCTGGGAGGAGAGGGACCAGAAGGCTCCCTGCTGAGCAGGGAGGCCGACATGGGGCTCGAACCCAGGACCTGAGATCATGACCTGAGCAGACACTTCACTGACTGAGCCACCCAGCCCCCTCGACGATTTTTAGGGGTACTAGTCTCCTTTTTTTAAAGTGGGAACGAATCCCCCACACGTAGGGCCCTTTTCTTCTCATGGGTCTTCACCTTGGTTTTCTTGGTGAATCAGAACTCAAAGGCCAGACGCATTCTGTACCTGCAGACCCACACTCCCCTCATCTCCGGTCTTTTTCCCAGTATCATTGCCTTGGTGACTACGTTTATCTCCTTCCAGATGAGAGCGGGAGGTCAGAGCTCTGTCCGTGTTTCTCTAAAAGTTCTGTGAGCTGCTTAGTGACTCACTGTGCAGCTCCTGCCTTTTTCCTTCTCCTCCTAAAGACTTTGAAACACCTTTAGGCAAAACAGGGCATGTTTTGGCACCAAGTAGCGTGAGGACCGATTATTTGCTGTTTCTTTAGGATGGCTTTACTTATTTGTGCTTTTGCTTCCCCTTTTGCTCCAGGGCCACCACCGCCCAGTTCGGGAAATGAGCAGCACTCGTCTGCCTCCATCTTCGAGCATGTGGACAGGCTGTCCCGGTCCTCGGAGGCCAGCCGGCGGGTCCCCAGTAAGATACAGCTGATTGCCATGCAGCCCATCCCGGCACCTCCGCTCCAGCACCCTGGATTGGCCGACCGGGTGGCTGAAACCAACAAAATTAACAAAGAGGTATTTGCTCTTTTTTAAAAAGCACATTTATGTTTTTAAACATTCACATTCTGATTGGGTCAGTGCTTAAAAACAGGTGGGAGTTGCAGTGTCGGAAGGTTACTGAGACGAGGAGCTGCTGACACGTATTCTCTGTTTTAAATATGAAGCTGAGTTTTTATTTAGATCCAGTGCCATTCAAGGACACGGGTAGGCGTATGGCAGACGTGCAGAGAGTTGACATCGCAAAGCCCGCTGTCCTTCAGGAGTCCTGCTGTGGCCCTTGGCTGGTGTTTGGGAATTTACATTTCAGAAACATTCCCACTATTCCCAGAACAGAGCGGCTCACCGCGCCCAGATCGTTTATGCAAACAGTATGACTTATCTGAACATCTCTTTTCCTTCCGGGACTGTGGAATTTTGGCGCATGCTACGCGGAGGGAGCCTGTTGGACCGGCCCCAAGTACGCGCATCCTGGGCTTTGCATCTCTAATGGGCTTCCTTGCTGGACATTTCACATGCATTGTCATAATCATTGCTGGAGGAATGAAGCGGCATTTTTCTGTGTGACTCTCCTGGGGAAGGCCTCCGAGAAGCTTGCTCCTGGTTTCCTCCAGACTTTGCCCCACATGCCATTTCTCTTTGCTTATTTTGATTTGCATCATTTTGCTGTAATAAATGGGACTAGCTGCTGTTGTCCTATGAGTTTTCCTAATGAACCTTTGAACATGGGGTGATCTTGGGACCACTGTAGACTTTGTGATCCCTAATAGATCGACTCTGGCCCCAAGGATCCAGTAATACCTTGTAAAATCCTATTCCAGTGAATCCTGGAAGAGTGAATTAGATCCACGTTCCTCCTAAGATTCTGGGAACCAGAAGGCCAGGCCAAGTCACTGTTCACTGGGCCGTGAGAGATTTGTCCTGGGCTGGACAGTGAGTGGAGTGAAGCCCGTTTAGGGTTGCACCTAAGGCAGCTCCATGTCTGTCCATTTCCTGCTTCTAAGAAACACCTGCTACGGCTGAGAGTTCTGCCAGGGTGAGGTAGTAGAGAACTGGTACAGTTGCAACCCCCTCCCTGCTTTAAAGGTGATCCTTAAAGTAGATCCTCTTACAGAAGTTCTAGAGTTCTTAATGGTCTTTCCTTCTTGCTGAGAATGTGCGCTGTGGGAATGGGGTGGCGTGCGCTGTCTCTGCTCACCAGTGCTGGGGAGCCCCAGCCCTGCGCAGCCCCGTCCTAACCTAGACCTGTCTCCAGCATCTCCAGTTGCATGTGCCTCTGTGCCCGCCCTAGAGCGGATTCTCCATCTGCTGGAAAGAAGGAAGGGCGTGTGCTCACCAGGCCTGTGGCCCCACAACTTGATAGCATACATTGCCATGTTTTTCTTTTCCTCTCTTTTTAAAATGTAGCTCTTGATGCATAGCAGGCTGTGGGACCCAGCCCGTGGGGATAGCAGGTTCTCTGCCCCCGTGGGTGTGGGTGTGGCTGTCCGTGTCACACCCCTCGCAGCTTCACAGGATCCTGGGATGGCTGTCTGGGGGAAAGGGACGCCTTCCCAAGATGCTGTCTCTGCACGGGGGCCAGAAAGCTTCCAGAACATTCCATGTGTCTCCCTTGTCTCCCCTTGGCGGTGCAGATCCAGACGGCGCTGCGGCACAAGTCCGAGATCGAGCACCATCGGAACAAGATCCGGCTCCGTGCCAAGCGCCGCGGTCACTACGAGTTCCCGGTGGTGGACGACCTGTCCTCGGGTGACACGCGCGAGCGGCACCGCGTGTACCGCAGGGCGCAGATGCAGATTGACAAGATCCTGGACCCCACGGCCAGCGTGCCCTCTGTGTTCATAGAGCCCCGGAAGAGGTGTGCCTCCCCAGCAGGGCCCCCCAGCTTTGCCTTCAGGGGGCCCCGAGGGCTCTGCTCCCACTGGGGCTGCTCTCCTTCGCCTGCCGGCCCCTCCAGTTGCCACGGAATCTTGTTCCTGGGTGTATTCTGCCTCCTGGACGTCAGTTAGTTGAAATCGGCGGTCACTCTTAGTTTCTCAGATGGTTGCCCCCTGGTTTCCGTCCTCCGTGTCCCCTCACCCTCACTCCCGGTACCTGCACCTCCGCGGCACGGGCAGGTCCATTTCTTTTCCCACCGCTGCCCTCAGAGTCTTGGTCTCTCGGTCTTCCAGACCCCTGTCCCTAAGGCACCGCATTTTCTCTCATCACTGCTCTCATTCACGTCTTGCTCTGTTCAACACCTGCCATGGTTTGGTTGCCTGCCCTGTGGAGCCTGTGTTCCTGCAACAGGCGGGGCCCTGCCTCTCTACTCTGGCTGCTTTCCACCATCCTGCAGTGGGGACAGTGTCTCCCCACTAGAGGGTCCCTTATTGCCCCCCACATTCATCTGTTTCCTGTTTCTGGCCCTCAGGGTGGTGGAGCCTTCACCTCCCGCCCTCTCCCTACATCCCTCCCCTCCGTCAGATCCCACTTGCTCTTCACGACCCATCTTGGCCGGAGAGCCAGCCGTGCTATCAGTAGCTCACACTGACCTTGCCCTTTTCTCTTGTTCCATGCGTTTAATATGCTCAGGTGGACCGTAGCTTCCTCATGGCAGAGTCTCACACACTGTTTGTAGCCTGTGGGGTGTTTTTACCACAGTGGCCAGCATATCCCAGAGGCTCAGAAAATACTTAGTGTGTAGTTGATAAGCTACGGGCAGGAAGGTTTATTTCCTACGAAGATAACCTTTTTTCCCCCCCCGGAAGCTCCAGGATAAAGCGATCTCCCAAACCACGCCGGAAACACCAGGTCAATGGCTGTCCCGGCGATGCTGAGAAGGACAGACTCATCACCACAGACAGCGACGGCACTTACAAAAGGCCCCCCGGGGTGCACAACTCTGCCTACATCGGTTGCCCGGTATGTAAGGCCGCCTGTTGCTTCTGGGATCAGGGTGGGGTGGCTCTTAGGGGAAGGAGAGTGAACAGTGGTGGCTGTGGCCCTGTGCGGTGGTGGCGCCAGCTGGGCCCTGAGGCATGGGGGGAGGTGGCCAGTGGGTCACAGAGCCCAGTGGGCTGCCGAGAGAGCCCCCTGGAAATGTAGCTCTTGCGTTGGTCCTTTCTGTATGCAAGCCCGTTTTCTAACGCTTCGGGGTGGGTACTCCTTGAGGTTAACTGGAAAAGAGAAGGTTTTTTGTTTGTTTTTGTTTTTTTATCTTCCCCTGGTCAGGTAATTGTTTCGGTTTCTTGGTAATAGAAGGGATATTTAGAGTTTTGTTTCTCCCTTCTGTTCCTGGAGGGCTAAGAAGATATTTTATTTGTGTGTGTGTGTGTGTGTGTGTGTGTGTGTATGATCTGAATGGAAGAGAAAGCTTAATGGAAACTAAGAAATACAGAATTAGATATTTTTGTTTTTGAACGGAAAGAGGCCCACTCCAAATTGCTTGAAGTGTTCAAGGCAGACATTGATGGCATTAAGGCACACATACACAGACCCCATTGAGCCGGGGAGAGAGGGCCCGCCTCCCCAAGGGTCTGAGACACCCCCAGACAGAGAGGGAGCTCCAGATGTGGCCGACTCCATCAGCGCCAGACACACAGTGGACACCTGGAGCTTTGTGCCAGGGCCAAGGCTGGCTTGTTGCACAAGACCCCTTCCTCCTTCCAGAGACACTCACAGAGGCATCCTTGTTTAGAGAGAAATCAGGAAAAAACCCTCACATCCTTGGAGAAGGGGTTTGTGACATACAAGATCATTGGAAAGAGCTTGTGTGCCCTTAGCCTTTGTCTCCTCATGACACAAACAACTAACCCCGAAAGATGCGAAGCCTGATCACACACATATGCCAAACACCGTAATGACACTGGGGCTCAGTAGCATTAAATCATGATCATCTGAAAGAACCAGACTTTTCCCTGGCAACTTCCTGTCTTTCTAGCGTCCTAAAGACTGGCAGCGCCTGCTTATGGGGATGGGTACAGTCCCGAAGGGCGCAGGCTTCTCCAGACGAGGCTGCTTTGCTCCTTCCTGGAATGAATCCAGCCCGTGGGGAAGGCGCGAGTGAACGCCTCTGACAGGGGAGCCGCTGGCCGTTCTCACAGCAGATGGAGCTCTTGTGCTGCGGTCGTGTCTTGGACAGGTTGTTGTCTGGGCATCTGTGGTGTTTGCCTTCATCTGGGAGGACGGTCCCCTTGGCTCCCCACAGTGGTCACTTGAAGCTTTGGCTTTTGTCTCCCACAGGACTTGTAGGCCTGATGTGTGAAGCCAGTGATTAGAAGAAGGGGGGGCTTCCTTCCCCCCCACTCCACCCCACCCGCTGCATACTTCCCTAGTCAGCCCGGGTCCTTCCCTCAAAGGAAATCTGCACCAGTGCTATCTCAATCCTGGCCCCTCTTTTTTTTTTTTTTTTTTTAAGTAGCTCCAAGTTCTGTCATCTGATGCCCTTGGGTCTCGTGTCTTCCCCTTGATCTCTCCATTTGTCTTCTTCAGTGATCTGAAATCACGCTCGCTGCCTTCGCCGGCGGCAGGGGGTGGGGGTGTGCTGGGGGAACTGGGATCATCTTTTCACTTCTTGCTTTTTTCTTAGCAGCAAGTGGAGGGTTTCCTCTTTCAGCTGGTGGAAAGAAACCCTTCCCCAGAGAGCACCACCGCGGTTGGCCGGCTTCATTTTTCAGAGATTCCCTGAAACGAAATTTTTCTCAGATGGACTTTTTACTTTGTGCAAAAATTCTGAAGCACGTGCTCTCAAATGCAATGCCTTTTTGTGGAACTCCCTTTTTTTTAGGTAGTATTTCATTTTGAATATTTTACAACACATATATGTTTTTTCTTAAATTTTACACTTGGCCCTCAAAATATCTTTTCGTTATGAGCTCTTTTCTCCTAGGGTGGAAGAAATATTCCCGTTATTTCTTGGCCGCTAGGGTCACCATTATAATTCAGGCCTCGGCACACCATGGGCCTCAGGCCAGATCTGGTCAGTGACCAGTTTTTGTGAAGTTTTATTGGAACAGCATCACTCTCCTTCATCTGCATGTTCTTTCTGGCTACCGCTCTGAGTGGTAGAGTTCTCTAACAGCAACGGAGACTATGTGACTCAGAGCCTATGATATTTTGCCGTGTGGTCCTTTACAGAAAAAGTTTGTCTACCCCGATCTAATTTGTCACCCAAACCTGACACCTGGGAGAGTGGTAGAAGGCTCTATTAATGATTCTATGGTGACAGTAGGCACAGGCTGAGATTGTCCTCGGCCATCCAGGGTGTCTGGTCACTCTCTTATAATACTGACAAATGATGCCAGATAGCACCAGGAAACATCCTTTCCGATGACTGAAGGTAAAGAAGAAATTCCTATGTCCTTCTGAGAAATGACAGGTGGATGCATATCTGTGCAAGGGAAACAAATTGACTAATAATGATATTATCAGACTGAGAGTCAAGAGAGCGGAATTCAAATTCCAATAGGGACCCTGGGTAAATCTTAACATCCATCGACCACTGTTAATCCATTTGTTAATTCGGTACCACCCGTCTGTGAAACACTGTGCAGATGTCGGGATTTAGAAAAATGAACAAGACCTCTTCTTGGCCTTGGAGGTGCTGGCAGTGGAGCCTCCCAGAGAGGAGACTGTTGTAGGAAGAAAGAATGAGAAGCTCTGACATCCTATGGCCCCACAGCTCTTTCCCTTGGTGGGATTCATGAGTCCCATCTTCAGAGCATCACAGCCCGTTTCTTGCTATAAATGTTAAACCGTTGGACTCTCAGTTCAGGCTTGCAGTGTTTTATGTGGCTGCACGCTAGCTTCCTTGCCACGTGGTGTTCTAAAACAAAATTCAGCTGAGTAAATTTGAAGATCTCATTAGCTTTATTCAGCAGTTCATGAATCGGGCAGCGTCCCCACCCAGCAAGTAGAAAGGAACTCTGGGGGGCAGTACAAAATGCAAGGTTTTTAGAGACTCAAGGGGGCAGAAAAGGAAGTTTTCTAACAAAGAGTGGATTGTTTCAGGCAAGGTCACCTTTCTTTGGGGGATAAAGAGGGGGGTCTGTTGTGCAGATTACCTCACTAGTGCTGATCAGGAATTTCCAGATCGACTGGTTAAAGGTCACATTCCTGGGAGAGGCTGAAAGTCTTGCTTTGCTCTCTGGGGGCAGTGACTCCATCTGGGGTTGTTCTGTCGTTGCTTTCTTGCTTGCTTTTTTGTTTTTTGAAGAAGAGCTGCGTAGTCATTTACTGGAACCACTGCTGGGAGCATCCCTTCTGTCTTTGGAAAGACTCATTCACTTACCAGTGGGATGTGTTTACAGGGACACTTATCCTTTTACTCCTCCTCTTAGGTTGATGACACACTCCTGGCCGCAGTCTTCCGTCTTTACTGCCCAGAGTGGGAAAAGGGCCTGCACACGGACCTTTTATCTACCTCACCGGGAAGGAAACACAGAGTTCTTCCAGGGCTTCGTCATAGATCCCCTTTTGGGGCCCCAAATCCATACTTAGAATCCCAAGCTGACAGATGTCACTTAGTAGAACCTTTCCTGGCATAGCCTAGTTCTTTTTTGTTAATGAGTTTTTTTTTTTTTTTTTAAGATTTTACTTATTTATTTGACAGACAGAGATCACAAGTAGGCAGAGAGGCAGGTGGAGAGAGAGGAAGGGAAGCAGTCTCCCCACTGAGCAGAGAGCCCGATGCGGGGCACGATCCCAGGACCCTGGGATCATGACCTGAGCTGTGACCTGAGATCGTGACCTGGGAACATGAGCTGAAGGCAGAGGCTTTAACCCACTGATCCATCCAGGCGCCCCGGTATAGCCTAGTTTTAAGGAAACAGACTTCTAGGGCTGAGGGGTCCTGCCCACAGCAGGGAGACCTCCCACTTGCTGCTGGGAGTGGTAGAGCACCCACCCCATCTCAGGAAGGCAGTCCCTGCTCAAGGCCAGTGGTTTCCGTGGATGAGTCGGGGCCTGGTGAAGCCACAGGTTCAGAATCAGCCAGGAGAATCCGGAAATCTGAGCTTTAGTATGAAATTTTCAGATTTTAAGAAATATTGACTCTTTATTTATTTTAGATGGCACAGCCCAAGCAAAACAGGTCTCTGGGCCATGTGTAGTGTGCCAGTCCGTGGTCTGGTTTTCTGTCTGGGGTTAACCGACTGCTGCCCTTCAGTGTTCAGCACTGGCTTGGATAATAATGGATTATCCGTTGGATGGAACCTAAGCATGAGGAAGCATTTTATTATTTTATTTTTTCATGATTTTATTTATATATTTGACAGAGAAAGAGAGAAAACACAGGCAGGAGGAGTAGGAGAGGGAGAGGGAGAAGCAGGCTCCCCATTGAGCAGAACCCCGATGTGGGGCTCCATCCCAGGACCCCGGGATCATGACCTGAGCTGAAGGCAGCTGCTTAACCAACTGAGCCACCCAGGTGCCCAATGAGAAAGAATTTTAGACAGTTGTCTGAGAGTAAGGATGTGTCTGTGGAACAGAGATTTTTCTTTATAAGTTATTGATCCAAACATTAATACAGACAGGAATGTCTTCTTCCAACCAGCTGAGCTAGACTGGGCCAGCTGGACGACAGAAGCATTCTAGGTACAAGGCGCCCACCCTTCCTCATGGAAGACGCAGGATCACCAGTCCCTTGTGCCCAGCCCCTCCTCTTCTCAGGGTGTCACTGACAGTAACTGTGACGGTGTGCTTCTGGCACCGGTGACACCGGGAAGACCTCTCCTTACAGTAGTGTCCTCTTTGTCTCTTGGGAGTTGACTCCGTGTATATGACAACAGTATTTTGCTCATAAAGCAGTATCAGGAAATAAGATTTTAAGAAACCTTAGTTGTTACTTTTATCCCTGACTCTTTGACAGTAGGTGTAGAATAATAAGTTAAACCTTGCTGGGTGACTCATGTTATCCAGAGGTAACTCCATTTGAAAGATGTGTGGTTTCTGAATAAACACTTTCTATTTACTGTTATAAGCAGTTGTTATAATAAGTATTAGAGTTGTTCATACACAGACAGGTACGATATGGTGGTGACTTTTGAACTCTTCTGGGTGGTATGTAGGGCAACTTTTTCTTGCCATAGTCAATAGACTGCTTTAGTTTTTGGTACGTGGGAAAAGTTGACTTGGTATTTTAGTATATAAGACTCTGAGACATTTTGTGGCTTCTTAGGGGCATTTAATAAAAATACATATTTACAGGTATTGACATGCATTTCAGATAGTGGGTGAGTTCTTTTGTTTTTGTTTTTGTTTTTTTTTTTAAGATTTTTATTTTTTGACAGAGACTGCGAGAGAGGGAACACAAGCAGGGGGAGTGCCTGAGCCGAAGGCAGACGCTCAACCACTGAGCCACCCAGGCACCCCCCAGATAGTTGGTTCAGTTTTACTGGCCAAATGATTGTTGACTATTTTCACTCATCCTGATTTAAGCTTCCCCTGCCACCGCTACCTTGTAGCTGTCATTTAAAAAAATCTTACGGTAGACTTTTTCCTCAATGTCAGTGAAAATTATTAAATCCCATTTTGGCCCTGTGGTCGTATTTTTGCATCACCACAGAAGCTCACCTCTGATCCTCCTTCCCTTTGCTCTTTGCCTTGCTGCAGTCCGATCCCGACCTCCCGGCCGACGTACAGACACCGTCGTCAGCTGAGCTGGGGAGGTATCCAGGCCTGCCCTTCCCAGCCTCCCAGTATATCCCGCCCCAGCCGTCAATCGAGGAGGCGCGCCAGACCATGCACTCCCTCCTGGACGACGCCTTTGCCCTCGTGGCCCCCAGCAGCCAGCCTGCCAGCGCTGCGGTCGCAGGCCCTGGGGTCCCAGCCGTCCTGCCTGTGAACAGCACCCCTTCCCGGGATGAGAGGCGAGCCACCCAATGGGGGTCCTTCTACAGCTCTGCTCAGACGGCCAACAACCCATGTAGCGTAAGTACTGGCCTTCTAGAATTCTCTCACGGGCCAGATGTTGGAACTTTGTTGCCTGACTCCCTCCATTTCAGAATCACTACAATAACACTCGTTTCACTTGATAAGAATTAAAGCTTGGCTGAGGGGTCTCAGTTTTCAGTATTTTTTCCCAAGTTAATTCTTAATGTTGGAAGCACCCTTTTATGCAACTCTGGTATTTAATGGGAGTCTCTTCCTGGGTTCCCTTCAGTGCCGTGAAATGGAAATGGGGTAACTGTCAAAGCATATTCTCATTGATGTCTTTATAAAAGGTGCAGTTTAGAATGTACCAAGTCATTAGGCTTCTTCTTAGAAGGCCACCTGGGACCGGAGTGGTCCTCAAGGCTCCAGGAGTATGGGCAGGTAGGCCACAGGCAGGCAAGGACAACCATTCCAAATATCAGGTTTCCATCTTAGGACTTAATATTTCAGGATTTCATCTTCCATTGTTATCCTTTTTTTTTTTTTTTTTTTTTTCATATTCCATCAGTCCTTTCCAATGTGTCTTCTCAAAACATGGGGGAAGGGGTAAAACTGAAGGATGTAAAATTAAATATTTTTTTGCTAATTCCAGATTGGATGATTGAACTGAAACATTCAACTCTGGAGGGAAGTTAATTAGACCCAGTTTCTCAAGGAGTGCTTATACTGGGTCATCTGATTTTGTTACCCATATTAAGGTGAAATTGGGTGGTCATGAACACATGTTAAAGGAATCTTCGTCTCTGAAATTGTTTTGAATTTTCGACGTATGTGGTTAGTGATAGATTCTTTCCTTCAATAACTGCTACCATGTGGTGAAAAATACCATTCCATCTCATTGTTTTTAATGTTACAACTATAAATATTAAATACTTCATATTTATAATGGTAGTTTATAACCTTTAAGGAAATGAGTGATACAGAACGAACTCTTTGATAAAGTGAATGTGGCTTCAGCTGCTGTCCCTTCCCTTTAAGCTTCTTTCACTTGTTTATTCATCCTGGGAGCTTCCCCCCCCCCATCCAGGGAGCTTTATGGAGCATCTGCTGTGTTTGGGTATTCTGCTGGGTGTTGGGGGTACAGCAGTGCACAATGCACAACTCCAACTTCTGTATTACAGCAGGGGATATGTGGAAAAATTGAAGCAGTAATTTTAAAACAGCATGGTGGGTGCCTTGGCCAGGGTAGAGTACAGTCAGGGAGCACCTGCCTGAGCTGTCACGTGTTTAGAAGGATTCTGTGGCTAAAACAGCATCAAAGCGGAAGTCTGACGGTTAATTAATGTAGAGAAACATGGCAGAGACAGAATTAAAAGTATCCAGTACAAGCTTCTTCTGAACAAGATGGAGGAACAAGGTTGGATTACCTCCCTTCCAGAAACAACTAAGATAACAAGGAGGGAAAAATATATAAATATACATACACACATACATATCTGTGGGTTTTCATAACCCTGGGCATTAGGCAGCAAAGGAGAGGGATTGCTAAGAAATGGGTCGAGCTCTACACTTATTCCAGTTCATTATCTTGAGAGAGTTTCTAGCTGCGGTGTAGGGAGGGAGACCCTCAGGCAGAGCATTGTATTCTCTCTGAGTTGAGAAAGATAGAATTGGAGACTAGGGAGGAAAAGATAGCTAGATTTCACAACAGGGAGTACAAGAAAGCTGAGAATTTTAGAGATCTGCAGGGAACCTTCATCTGAGTACTGACCAGTTTAAGGGTATGAGGAAACTACCTAAGACTGGGAAAAGAACCACCTAAAAAGATTAAAGGGAACAGTCCTCAGAGCTCACACAGGTGTGGAAATAAGTCCCTACTGTAGAATGAATTGTGTATCCCCAAATCCAAATGTTGAAGTATAAACCCCCTGTGGCTATATTGGAACTGGGATCTTTAAGAAGGTGACTAAGGTTAAATGAGGTCATAAGGTTGGAGCCCTGACCAGAGACACCAGAGCTCGCTCTCTCTGCCATCTGAGGATACAGCAAGAAGGTGGCTGTCTGTCTATAAGGCAGAAAGAGAGCTCTCACCATAAACCAAACCCTGCTGGAAATTTGATCTTGGACTTTCAGACCTACAGAACTGCAAGAAAATACATTTCTGTTATTGAAGCCACCCATTCTGTGGTATTTTGTTATGACAGCCCAAGCTGATGATTACAGTTCCTTTCCTTCTAGAGCAGAAAGCTGCATAATTCATGGAGCACCAGTTAGGTTACTCAGAAGGGACATCAGTTTGCTTCAGTAGTAGGACAAAATGAGCCCCAGATTAAAGCTTCCCTAGTTCTGCCTAACAAAGCAAAAAACAATACGTGAAACCAAACAAAGCTCAAGAATATTTATAAAAATCCAAAAATACATAGCACTCAACAAGTTAAAATTAATAAGGTTTGAAATCTAATCAAAACTAGCCAGATAAGCAAAGAGGCAGGAAAATGACACAGAAGTAGTAGACAAGGATTTTAAAAGAATAGACAAATGGAAAACAGGCACTAAGATATTAGATTTAAATTCAGCCCTATCAATAATCACAGTAAATATGAATGGTCTAAATATTCCTATTACAGGGCAACTATCAGTGGAATAAAACTCACGATCTAATTATCTGTTGCCCACAAGACACATCAAATATAAAGCCACAAATAGGTTAAAAGTATGGGGAAAGAAAAAAAAAAAGTCTGGAGATAGATGAAGTATGTTAACACTAATCACAAGAAACTGGAGTGGCTCTATTAATGTTAGCCAAAATGATTTCATAGTAAAGAATATTACACAGGGATCATTTTATAGTAATATATTAGTTCATCAGGAAGACATAAAATCCTAAATGTTTATGTGCCTATGACAGAGAATCAAAATATGGGAAGTAAAAACTAATAGAACTTTACACAGAAATAAAGCCATTGTTATAGGCAGAGACTCCAACACTTCTCTTTCAATAATTGATAGAATGAGTATATAGAAAATCATTAAGGTAGAGAAAACTTGAACAGGTCTTGCATTCATACTGATTATGAGCTTGAACTAATTGACATTTATAAAGGGCTTTACCCAAGAAGAGCAGAAAGAGTGTACTGTGTTTATACGGTGGGATACTACTCATTAATAAAGAAGAATGAATTATTTATACATACAACAATTATTTATACATATGACAACATGGTTGGGTCTCAGAATAGTTATGCTGAGGGAAAGGAGCCTCCCCACCCCCAAAAAAGTGCATATTGTATGATTCCATTTATATGTAATTCTAGAAAATGCAAACTACTTTATAGTGACAGAAAGCAGATCAGTGGTTGCCTAGGGATGGAGTGAATTTGGGAAAGGTTATGGGACAGAGGGATTACAGAGGAGCACCAGGAAGCTTGGGTGGTGATGGATATGTTCATTATCTGGTTTATGAACATGGTTTGTGGGTACCAACATTTGCCAAAACTTAAAAACTTGTATACTTGAACATGTACAGTTCATTGTGTGTCAATTATAATGAAATGAGGCTGTTAAAATTTTTGCTCCAAAATGTTTTTAACAGTGAAATTGGTTCTGGGGGACTAATACAGGGTGAGAAGTAGGAGTGGTGAGACATGAGGCAGGAGAGAAAAAGCAGGAAGCTCTTGGGACAGAGCCTAGACCTCATCTTGAGGGTAATGGTCAGACACCGAAGAGTTTTGAGCACTCTAAAGACATAATTCAGTGTGCCTTTTTGACAGATTGCTTTCATTTTAGATTGGAGAATGGTTTGTCAAAATGCAAGACCAGAAGCAGGGAGACATTTAGAAAGTTTTCATAGTAATCTTGGTGAGTGATGTCGATGGCCCCAACTAGCATGATGCAGTGAATGGATTCCAGAGGAAGAATCATGTCCTCAGTGTGTTTAATTGCTGATGGCACTGAGCCAGCCTAGAGGGAGAGGTCAGTGGCACAGGAAGGGGGATCCAGAGTATTGAAGGAGGAATTGTCTTTAGAAATGAGGGGATCTATTTCTTCCAGTTTAATAGCGGGAGTGGGGAGGAGTTGGGTACAGATATAATCATGTTTGTAGTGGGTGACAAGAAGTTGAGGGACCTCCCATCTCATTGTGGCTTCTATTTTTCACAGTGGAGAAAGCAGAATCACTTATTGAGAATGATGCAAGTGTGGCAGGGCAAGAGATTCGAGGGAGAGCAGAGATTGTGCATACTTTTTGTAGAGAATGAAAGAAGACCATTTAGGGACATTAGAGTAATTTCTTAGTGGCATTGAAGCTCCTGTTGAGATTGGCTGTCACAAAATTATAGTGGCACGAATTAAAGTTCTGGATTTTTGTTGATCAGCATTTGGATACGCAGGTGGAGACAAGGAGAAAATGGGCAGTTGGATTGATCCGAGAGTAGAGGTTTCTCAGGCAAACATGATGAAAGGACAAGGGACAAGAGATGTGCAGACTAGAGGGTGCAGGGCACCTGGGTGGCACAGTTGTTAAGTGCCTGCCTTTGGCTCAGGTCATGGTCCTGGGATCGGGCCCCACATTGGGCTCCCTGCTCAGCGGGAAGCCTACTTCTCCCTCTCCCACTCCCCTTACTTGTGTTCCCTCTCTTGCTGTGTTTCTCTCAAATAAATAAGATCTTAAAAAAAAAAAAAAAGATGAGAGGCTTCAGTTGAAGTGATGGTAGATCATACACTGCAGGGCAAAGACGGGGAGTTGGGGTCCATTCAACATGCTGTAGTTTTGTAGGTTCTCCCTCTCGCATCCTCAGCATCATGTAGGTTGGATCCACCTTCATCTCTCACCACCACTGCAGGACTTCCTGATTGTTTTCTGGCTCCGGTCTTGGATGTAGTATATGAGAGTGGTGGCTGACCTGTAAAATGCTGGGGAAGCATTTTACAATGTAAAATGTTGAGCAGGCTGGGGAGAGGAGAGGCTGACACATCTGTGGCCATCTTAATTTCCCCTTTCCTGGTAAGGGCTGTACGTACCCTACCTGCTAGGAAGCCTGAATAATTCGGGACACTCAGCTAGTTTTTCTGAATCATTTCCCTCCATGAATAGGCAGTGTCCATTTGATCTTCAGATTCAGCTTTTTCATTCACTTTACGGAAGCTTTCTTTAATATCTAAATCAGTTTTCTTACTCTCTTCTATTTATTGGAGTCGAAGATACCAATTGTCTTCGTGTTGGCTCATCTTTGTTTTCTGTACCTATCCTTTCATTCTCTAATGGCTTTAGCTGCTTTGTCCTGGTTTCTCTGCCTTCTTTATCATTATCATGGGCCTTTTGTCTGTGGCATTGATTTGATTTGGAGCCATATCTATTCTTTTCCCCACTAGTTGATTTCTTAGAGCCATAAAGGCATTGTTTCGGTCCTCAAATAATTTCCATCAATAATTAGGTCCCAAATTATTTCAGTTCTCTGATCTCCCATTTCCATTCATTCTGTTCTTTTATCATCTCATCTTTGAACTTAAAAAAAGTAATTGCTATTTTTATTATTCACCATTATGCAGCCACAGTCCTTTTTTATTTCTTGGCTGCTAGTTCTCTCAGTTTATGGCATGAATCTGTTTCTTTCTTTGCTTGTTTGGTTTCTGCTGGTGAATTTTAGCAATAATTTTTGATTGATTTGTGTTACTATTTTTATTATTATTTCATTGTTCATAGGTTTTGGAGATGAACAATTCCACAATGATACCTTAATCTACCATCTTAACCAAGAACTCAAATTCACAGCAAGATTTTTTTTTTAATTTTTTTTAAAAGATTTTATTTATTTATTTGACAGACAGAAATTGCAAGTGGGCAGAAAGGCAGGCAGAGAGAGAGGAAGGGAAGCAGGCTCCCTGCTGAGCAGAGAGCCCGATGTGGGGCTCGATCCCAGGACCCTGAGATCCTGACCTGAGCCAAAAGCAGAGGCTTTAACCCACTGAGCCACCCAGGCGCCCCCATAGCAAGATTTTTATAAACACTCTTAAGAGAGTGGTTTTCTCATCATGGACCTTGGATATTACCCTTATTTGTTTTGATAATGATAGCTATTTAATCTAGTGAAAAGCAAAATCATTGGCTATATCTATGCATATCTAATATAGTTTGATGTTTATAAATTGGTCATAAATTACTGTTTGTTGCCAGGAGGAACCTTATCACCCTTTATTCCCTCCTTTGACTATAGTAAAAACATAATAATGTAGATCTCAGGATGTCCTCAGTTACCACGTGAACCTTATTTACCATCTAATGACATCTTTTCATCTTTTTTTTTTTTTTTTTTTGCCAGTGTAAGGGTGTTAGTTATGCATTGGTGAGAAGGCTACTTAATAGGTGATGGGTGATGTTTCTGCTTTCCTGAGTAATGTTAATCTCCCTGGAGCTGTCTTCTAAGTACCAAGTATGAATGTCTGAACATTTTATAAGCAGACCCATCCCAGTCTCCACCAATGATTTAACATGTCTTTCTTGCTCTATTGGCCTGTTTTATACTGAATAGAAAGAAGGGATGCATTAAAATGGGATTTTTATTTGACATCGCTGGTTGAAACCTTAACATTCTATTATGTTGCCCAAAGTTTTATATAGCTGTGACCCACTTAAACACCTGTCATTATGTCTCTGATTTTTTTTAATCCTTTTCACTGGGGCATGCACTACTGAAAAAATCACTTCCTTTTTCTGATTACAATAGAGTTGAAATCCCGGTACCAGAATAACAAAACAGGTAGAGTAGACGGCTCGTTTTCACTATTCTGTTAGTTTATCACTTACTGGACCTCCTGAAATCCTGATACGTAAACTTTGATCTTTTTTGTTTTGTTTTATTTTGCACATGAGTATGTTTAAAAAATCAAGACTGCTGAAAAACACAGGGACCACTGTGAATAATCTTTATCTGGTCTCAGATTTCCCTTTAATTATTTGAGAAGGAATTGAAACTCCTCTTCCTTCTTTTCTTCCCTTCTTCCATAATCCCCTTTGCCTGTTTGACCTCAAATGGGGAAATGTACAAGGTTCTCTTCTCCCTCCCTCCGCCAAGGAGATGGAAGCAGGGAGGGTCAGAAGATGAAGTAATTTAAGCACAGTTTCATACATAATAATCCTTTCAAACTGTATGAGGTATAGGGTTCATTCTATCCTCCTTGGCATCAGGAAATAGGCCCAGGGAAGTTGAGTAGCTTGGCTAGTCTGTTTGACTCCAAATCCTCTACTTTTCTTCCCAAAGAAGAGATTTATTCAAGGGGGGTATATCTGGTTTGGGAACCATGGGCCTTGCAGTGCAGTGGTGAAAACCTGGTCTTTTGAGTCAGAAAGACTTACTAGGAGGAAATTACTTAACTTCCTTGTGAGTTGATTTCATCTATAAAACGAAGCTAGTGAGCCCTTTGTTTCTGTTACTGGGGCCGGAGTCAGCGTTCATTGTGCTTACCACAAAATACTAATTCATTAAATGGCAACTTAAAATATATCTAATATGAGAGCAGGTCCAGAAGCAAAGCTGACTTAGTAACTTCACTTGAAGCTATGGATCCTGGACAACCAGTTGGTTCAAGCTGACTGCAGTTGGATGGACTCTGGCCAGAGTAACTGCTTGTTAAATCTGAAACCCAAATATCGACTCACAGCTGTTGGAAGGAGTGTTGAAGTAGGAGTCCCATGAATGTTAGAGTCAGGATGTGTTGATATCATGAGGAACACAACATAGATACATGTTTCTTTAAATTGGATGCCACATCGGTATTGTTTTAGCCAAAGAACACATGGTTAGCTGAGATTAACTCAAGTAAAAAGAGCTGATTTAAGGATATAGGCACTGACTGGGTGGAACATAAGGGCGGGAGCATGGCTGGGACTCCTTGGAGCCAGAAAACTTTCAGAAGCTAAAGGTGTTAACCTCATCTTTAAGCATCTGTCTATTTTCTGGTTCTTGTTGTATTCTTTCCCTTTTCACAATGTTCTACAGCACAGTACAACACTCACATACTTCAGTTTTGTGGGTGTGTTTGGATTGCTGCTGGAAACCTGCTGGCTGTGGTGACCATCATGGCCCATGTGGGTAGAGTCATTTGTACTCAGTGTGACCACAAAGGCCTATCTTTTTAGCAGAAGATACAGATTTGTAGAGAATGCGCCTGTAGGGAAAAACGAGGCCAGAAGGCTGTTACTCATATTTTCAAAAAAGAAAGAAAGGTCTAGAAATGAGTTGTGTTTTTTTTTTTTTAAAGCATGGTAGTTTCAGTTCCCCAGGCTGAAACGTCTGGCGTTATTGATGGCAGAATGCTTAAATGACATGCCAGCTGTTTTATGAGAAAATAATTCTCTTGAGAGTCAATCCTGCGAACCCAAATTTGTATGTTTGCTATTGTCACTTTCTAATAAATGTGGAATGTTAATCTTCATCTTCTTTTGGTTTTCTTCCAGAGATATGAAGACTATGGAATGACTCCCCCATCAGGCCCATTGCCGAGGTAAAGTTTTTAGGAGAAAATGCATTAGGACTTCCTCACATAAACTTTCAAAAATTTTGTAAACTCACTTTTTTGAGCTAATATTTAAAGCAGATGAAAACTTCAGAGTTGTGTGTTCTCTTGGGCTAATCTGAAGAGGAGAAAAAAGGTGGAATTTACGGTCTGCTTCCAATAATGACAGACTAGATAATTTGCTGAGGGCAACTAGAAAAACTAGACAAGATGTTAAAATAAAACAAAACCAAACCCATATAGCTAACATGACAGTGAAGTGGTATGGGGCCAAGATCCAGGAAATCCAGAGAGATGAGCCCTGCCTTTTGGGCGAAAATTCTCCCAGGGGCCTCTGCTGATTCCAAAGGAGGTGAGTGAGAAGGTGAGCAGGACTTTGGACAGACTCATGCAGCTTGGAGTCTTGAAAATTCGACATGGTGAAAGTTGTGGGATACATCTCAAGGCATGCTCAGGGGGGAGTTTGATGCCTTAAGTGAATCAAAATATATTTGAAAAGAGAAATGGCTGGAAACCAGTGATCTAAGCATCTATCTCAATGTTTAAAAAAAAAAATCTAATTAAACCTAAAGTAAGTAGAAGGAAGGAAATAATAAAAATAAGAATAGAAATTAAAGAAAGGGGCGCCGGGTAGCTCAGTCGGTTGAGCGTCTTCCTCTAGCTCAGGTCATGATCCCAGGGTCCTGGGATCGAGCCTCATGTTGGGCTTCCTGCTCAGCAGGGGAGTCTGCTTTTCCCTCTTCCTCTGCTTGTGCGCGCTCTCTCTCTCGCTCACTTTCTCTCCAAAAAATAAATAAAATCGAAAAAAAAAGAATAAATAAAAAGAAATTAATGCAATAGAAAAACAAATACCATAATAGGGGAGACTGACAAAGCTAGAAGTTGGTTCTTTGAGAGAAGCTAATAAGATTGGTAAATCCCTGGAGAGCTTGATCAAGTAAGCTGCATATCATTATCACTGACGGGAATGAAAAAGGACATATTAATCCAGATCTTTCAGAAACAAAAAAGATTTTGACAGATTTTTAAAAAGATTTCACAGATGTTAGGAGGATTTTATGAACGCATTTTTGTTAAGTTTAAAGTGGAAAGTAGGTCAGTTAAGCATCTGCCTTCGGCTCAGGTCATGATCCCAGGGTCCTGGGATCTAGTTCTGCATCTGGCTCCTTTCTCAGCAGGAAGTCTGCCTCTCCCTCTACCCCTTCCGTCTACTTGTGCTTACTCTCTGTCTCATGCTCTCTCTCACATTCTCTCTCTCAAATAAATAAAATCTTTAAAAAATTCTTAAATGGAAAAATTCTGGGGCATCTGGCTGGCTCGGTCAGTGAGCATCTGACCCTTGATCTCAGGGTTGTGATAGGAGGCCCATGCTGGGGTTAGAACTTATCAAGAAATAAATTAAATTGGAAAAAAAAATTTTTTTTTCAAAATAAGATGAATGGGAAAATTTCTAGAAAGAAAGCCTGAATTGTCATATAACTATTAAAGAAATTGAAATCATTCCTAAAATTCTTCCCACAAAGAAAACTTTGGGCTTCAATGATGAATTTTACCAAAAATACGAAAGAAAGTAAACATGCCAGTGTCCTACGAATTATCTATAGAATATAAGAACAGAGAATGCTCTCCACCTCATTCTTAAGGACTGCATAAACTTTTATCTTTTATTTTTTTATTTGACAGAGAGGGAGAGAGCACAAGAGAGAGCACAAGTAGGGGAAGTAGCAGGCAGAGGGAGAAGCAAGCTCCCTGCTGAGCAGGGAGCCCAATGAGGGACTTGATTCTAGAATCCTGGAATCATGACCTGAGCCGAAGGCAGACACTTAACAACTGAGCCACCCAGGTGTCCCAAGACTGCATAACCTTGATATCAAGGATGAGACAAGGACAGGAAATTGCAGGAAAGAAGACATTAAAGGTTCATGAGTTTTACTCATGAGCATAGATGCAGAAACTTGAAACCAAATATTAGCAAACATATCCAGCATTGTATATGAGAGAATATCATATCACAGCCAAACTGGATTTATTCCAACAATGCAAGGGCAATTTAACATTTCGGAAAATCAGCCAATCTAATTTACTACCTTGAGGAGAAAAAAAGAGGGAAATCTCATTTCGCTAAATAGAGCATTTGATAAAATTCATCATCCATTTGTGGTGAAAATCTTAGAGAGCAGAGAATAGAAGCGACCTTGTCTAATCTGATAAGAGTTATCTCAGCAAATATGACTTAAGGTTGAAATGTTGAAAGTTCTCCTTTTGAGAGTAGAAGCAAGACAAAGATAGCTGCTTCCATTACCTCTGTTGCCCTGGGGGTCTACATTGCCCTGGGGCTCTAGATGGTATAATGAAACAAAAAAAAGAAAGAAAAAGATTAAGGAATTCAAGAAAAGAAATAATACTGTTATTATTCTCAAATGATATATTTTTTAAGTAAAATCCTCAAATGTCAAGTTGAGAGGTAAAGTGGGGGGCTTGGGGGGCAGGGAAGGAAAAAATGAAACAAGATGGGACTGGAGAGGGAGACACACCGTAAGAGACTTTTAATCTCACAAAGCAAACTGAGGGATTCCCGGGGGAGGTGGGTAGGGAGAGGGTGGTTAGGTTATGGACATTGGGGAAGGTATGTGCTATGGTGAGTTCTGTGAAGTGTGTAAACCTGGCGATTCACAGACCTGTACCCCTGAGGCTAATAATACATTATATGTTAATTAAAAAAAAGAAAATCCTCAAATGTCAACACATAAATTGTTAGAATTAAGAGAATTTAGCAAGATAGATAAATTACAAGATAGCTAGATATAAGATCTGCATACAAAAATCTATTTCTGTTTATGAGCAACAGACAAAATAAAAACTTTTAAAGATACTACCCAAAATAGCATCAAGAAATATAAAATATCTCAGAATTAATCTCACAAAAGGTAGCTAACACCTCTAAAGAAAGTGTTCATGGATTGGGCAACTCACTGTATTTCAAATATCAGTCTCCCATAAGTGATGTACAGATTCATTTTGATCCCGTTCAAAATCCTTGTAGTTTGTTGTCTTTAAAGAAATATGTGGAGACTGACAAGCTGATTTTAAAATGTATGTGGAAATGCAAAGGGCCAATAATATTCAAGACACTTTGAGAAAAAGAATAATATGTGAGGACTGTTCTAAAGGTTGTAACTTACTATAAGGTAATGAAGACATTGTGCTATCACTGTAAAACTAGACAAATAGACCAGAGGAACAGAATAAAGAGTCCATAAGCAGACCCACAGGAGTGGACAAATGATTTATTACAAAGAAGGAATTGCAAAAAAACCAGTTAATCTCAGAAGTCATACTCAACTATTCTTTCAATGACCACATATCACACAGAAGTAGGAATGTTACCTGCTTCCTCATTTTTTTCTGTTCTTTCTTTGCCCACATTTTCAGAAGGGTTTGTTTTATTCTCCCCCAAAGCCCTCCCCAGCCCAGGCACTGCTTCATGGTCCAAAAACAACAAAGGTAAAGAGAGTGCATGAAGATTAGGTGATCTGGGGCAGAAGTTAATGATGGGGGATGATCTGATCTGGTTTGCCTAGTTCGGTTCAGTTTACACCTGTTTTTTAGTGTAATTATTAATCACTTGGACTCTCAAAGGCATTTTGGTTTGGAAGGCCAATTTTATGGTTACTCAAGTTAAAGGATTCTGGGGGATTGGGATCCAACTGAACTGTGTACACACAATTTAGGATAAAAAGGATGCACATGTAGCCAGGAGGAGGATAACTGGGCAAAGTAGAACTCACTAAAGGGCAAGAGCTAGTTCTTGGGTAGATGGTCAAGAGATTATGATTCGATGAGGTGAACTGCAGGATACAGATGCGGAAGGGGAAGCATGCCTTCATGTTAACGCTCTCCGATCTGTAAGGTCAAAAATGTCAGGCATCTCTCTCTGAGGTGAACCTAAAACAGTAGCAGTGATCTACAGATAGCAATATAAGTAGCTCGGGCTTCAGTTGACAGGAGGTGCTCTAGAAATAAGACTATAGAGTAGGGGCAAACCAGTCTGTGTTCTCATCAGACTAGTTTGATCTGTTAATTACTGGTTGACTGTCATTTGTGAAGAGCTGTAATTAGACTTTCGTATTTTTTTATTCTCGAGTTTCTTCAGAAGAGTGGTTTTCAAGGTGGAATTCTCAGATCCCTAGAGGGTCCTCGGCACCCTTTGGGTGGGTGGGGTCTATGAAGTCAAAACTGTGTTTCGTAATAATATTAAAGCATTATTTGCCCCCCCCCTTTTTTTTTTAATTGTGTTGATGCCTACACTGAGGGGCAGAAGCAGTGGTGGATGAAACTGCTGGAGCCTTAACCCGAGTCAAGGCAGAGGCACCAAATGGCCTGAATGTCCTCATATTCCTCACCACAATGCAGTCAGACTTTTAAAAATGCCAGTTTGTTAGTTATGTTAGCGTGTCCTTGATGAAGTAGTACAAATTATTAATTTTATTAAAAGTAAACCCTTGAGTCTTTAATCACAAAAGAGGACAAAAGAGGAAATACATATAAAGCGCTTTGTGCAGTATGGAATTTTGAAGGACAAGCACCTGTTCAGGTGTTTGTGTCGAGAACTGATCTGTGCTGCTGCTCAGTTTTCCGTTTGCGTTGTCAATTGGCAGACATCGTTATTCAGACTTGCGCTGCTTGGCAGACACTGTCTTGAGAATGAAGGAAGTGAACCTGTCACTTCAAGAAAAATAACTTGACAGGATTTGTTGTCAATGATAAAATTGAGCTTTCAAGCGAAAATTTGATTTTTGTCTGCCACTGGGCACTTGACAACTTCCTAGTACTTAAAGACTGTTTTGCTGAGCTCAGTGGTGATATTAATGAATTAATTTTTTTTTAGTACTACCAAATAAAATGTATCAATATCTAGGAAGTCTGCGTAACTCAACAAACCCGTATTTTCCAAATGACTTATGTCGTAAAATCATGCATGGGTCCGTTCGAAGTGCAAAATAAATCAGTGGGATTTCTAACTGACAACAACTGATTGAATACAAAGTATATGAAAATCCAGATGTTTTCTATTAAGGAGATTTGAAAAAAAAAAGTCAGATTCTTCTCACTACTTTTTGGGGAGGGAGGGGTTAGAAAATATAATTGATTTCGTGAGAAAATACTAACGGGTAAGATGCTTAATATTATGATTTTTAAATTAATTTTAGGCATAGGTATTTAAAAAAGTTTTCATTTTAATTCCAAATGCAAGAAATATCTGTAGATAAAATCCACAGAAACAGACGTTCTCAAGAGTCCTCAGTAATTTATGAGTATAAAGGTGTCCTGAGACCAAAAAGTAGGAGAACCCCCGCCTGAAGCACTGGTCTTCAGCCTTTAGTATCAGGACCATCAGTGGAACTCTGGGTCCTACCTTTAGAGATTCTGTTTTCATTGGGCTGGGGTGCAGCGTGGACATCAGGGTTTTTTAAAAGATACTACTGTGCAGCCGAGGTTGTGAACCACCACTCAGTCCCATGCTGGAGAGGCTCCGGCCCTGGAACTTTGCCTGCACATAATGGGGTCTGTGAGCTCAGGCATTTCTTCCTCAGTCATCTGGCAGAGATTTCTCCAGCATCAGCTATATCCCAGGCACTGTTCTCAGTGCTGGAGATATGTCCATGAGAAACAGAAAACGCCTCTGCCCTTAAGGAGCTCGTGTTCCAGGCAAGGAGACAGATAATACACCGCTAGGCAGAGAGGTCTTCCTTTTCTGTAGGACCGAGGGTGGCACTAGTCAAATACCAGAGCCGGGGTGACATGTGGTCCTGATGCCTGGGCTTGCTTTGCCTTCAGACCAGGTTTTGGCCCCGGTTTGCTGCAGTCTTCGGAGCTCATGCCCCCGGAGCCCCAGCAGCCACAGACGTCGGCTGAAGCCCCGTTCACCGCCCGAGGGATCTACTCGGAGGACGTGCCATCGGTGGCCCGGCCACGGCCTGTCGGGGGCACTACAGGTACATGGGGCTGTTTAGCTTGCATTCGGCCACAGTCTGGCAGAGGACATTTCAGACTTCCCGGTGTTTCAGTGTCCCCGTGTTCGGTGACCTCCTCCACTGGTCTGAGCGGCCTTCACCTGGATCCTGGTGGAGGTGTAGGCAGGGGAAGTGGGAGGAGAGGGCAGCTGAGAGATCCCAGGACTGACGCCCTCTGGTTTGTTCCTGGGTCTGTGTCTCAGAAGCTGTCCCTTCACATGGAATTCACAACACGACTCTTCCAGGGAAGACGTTTCTAAACTCTCACGGTACACTGAAAGATCTCTGGCTGGGCTCTTGGTGTGGCGTTAAAACAGTGCTTGTTTTAAAGAAGGCATTTTTCCAGGGGTGCCTGGGTGGCTCAGTGGGTTAAAGCCTATGCCTTAGGCTCAGGTCATGATCCCAGGGTCCTGGGATTGAGCCCCACATCGGGCTCTCTGCTCAGCAGGGAGCCTGCTTCCCTTCCTCTCTCTCTCTGCCTGCCTCTCTGCCTACTTGTGATCTCTGTCTGTCAAATAAATAAATAAAATCTTAAAAAAAAAAAAAAAGGCATTTTTCCAGCTTGTGATAAGCAGCTCTGGACATTGCTGGCCAGGGGCCTGAGGGAAGTTTTTGTTTCATTTGTTCCTCATGACGAGGGTTGGTGCTCATAGGTGACAGGCAGGGCCCAGCAGGGCTGAGCTGAGGTTCCTACATGGCACTGGGCTGGTCTGCCCCAGCGGTTTACCTGAGAATTAAAAATGGCTTTTTAATTAATTATTAATTAAATTTAATTAATTATCGTTAATTATGCAATCATTAATTAAATTAATTAATTAAAAATTGCTACTTCGTGTCGCGGAACCCCATCTCAAGAACAGTTGATACTATGAACGGCTGTTCATGGTTCCCAAAGCATCTGTGGAGTTTCTAAGATTCTAAGCCCTTTTTTTTTTTTTTTTAAAGATTTTATTTATTTATTTGACAGATCACAAGTAGGCAGAGAGGCAGGCAGAGAGAGAGGAAGGGAAGCAGGCTCCCTGCTGGACAGAGAGTCCTATGCGGGGCTCGATCCCAGGACCCTGGGATCATGATCTGAGCCGAAGGCAGAGGCTTTAACCCACTGAGCCACCCAGGCACCCCTCCTTTTTTTTTTTTTTTTTAATACAGCTCAGCATACTCTGAAAAATCCTCAAATTTCATTCTACCGATCTATGTTTATTCCAAGGGCTCAAAGTCTCTCTGTTGTTTTCCCTTTTACTTTATTTTCATTTCTTCACCTTCCTGTTGGAAGCTTTAGTGAGGAGCCATGATATATTAAATAGCTTCTCTCTCTCTCTCTCTTTTTTTTTTTTTTTTTTTTTTTACTATTTTCTAACTTTCTGGATGATCCCTACCTTTATAATGTCATCAAGGAACCAGTTTAAGCCAATCTGAAACTTGTAATAATTGGTGGATAATTACCCATTATGGTTTCTTTGGAAGTTCTTGTATGTTGCATTATCAGTCAACCAAACAAATAATATATCTGGATGTCCGACAGGATTTCATATATTCTACACATGCCATACTTACAGTCAGTTTTGTTTCTCCTGCTAATCATTGTTTATTGGAACATTGTTGCATATTATATATCCCAAACAAAATTCAGACATATCCATCTTTACTCTAGAAGAATAGAGAAATGATACATATAGAACATTCGAAAAGGATATTATTTCTAATAATTTCTAATAAGAGATTAAGTTATGTAAAAACTTGTGATAGAAAATATTAAGATGTACTTTCTGATTGCGTAAAATGGTCAAATATGTCTATGTCTAAAAATTAGTAAATGCAAAATAAAGATAGTATCTGGGGAAGTATTTAGCAGATACATGGGTCCATGAGGTGTTTTTATTAGAAGATGATTTGTATAAATTGATAAGTGGGCAGACTTCAGAGCATGAATGGGCAAAGGACTGGAAGAATGAATTCACAGAAGGAATATTTGTGTGGGGTGTGTGTCACATGAAAGTAAACATATGAAAAATGCCCAGTTTTGAAAATTATTAAAGAAATGCACATTAAAACCATGGTGAGACACCATTTCAGTGTTCTATCTTTCCATAGTAACATAGTGTGACAAAATTAGTACCCAATTTCTTGCTCTGTACAATGGGCGTAATGTGTTAGTACTTACCTCCTGTCGTTGTTTTGAGGATTACAGAAGAGAAAAGATATGAAGGGCTCAAAATAGGGCCTAACATGTTGTAAACTCTCAGTGAATATCAGCTACAATTATTATGTTTTCAGTGGTGGTATAAACCACTGAACATTCGGAAAGCAGCTGGGCAACACGACTTACTGAACTTTGGATTTGGTAATTCCACTTTTGAGAATCTAGTATTTTCCTCCCCAAAGAAATCCAAACACTGGGAAAAAACTACATGTGCAAAGATATTTATTAGTGCATTATTTATAATAGCGAACAGTTGTGAGCCCCTAAATGTCTAGTAGTAAGGGAATCAGTGAGTAAATTGTGGATCTGTTTATTTATTATTAATTAATTCCTTAATTTCATTTTAGTTTTTTTTTCTTTAATTCCAGTATATTTAACATAAAGGGTTATATGAGTTTCAGGCATACAGTATAGTGATGCAGCATTTCTGTACATTACTCAGTGCTCATCATGGTAACCAAGTTTATCTCTTTTGCCTATTTCACCCATCCCTCACCTCCCTTCTCTGCTAACCATCTGTTTGTTCTCCATAGTTAAGAATTTGTTATTTTGTCTTTTTTCTTTATTTGTTTTGTTTCTTAAATTCCACATGAGTTTAATTGTATGATATTTATCTTCCTCTGACAGACTTATTTCCCTTAGCATTACATCCTCTAGCTCCATCCATGTCATCGCAAATTGCAAGATCTCATTCTTTTTTATGGCTAAGTAATAGTCCAGTGTATACACACACCACCTCTTCTTTTTTTTTTAATTAAAAAATTTTTTCAGTGTTCCAAGATCATTGTTTATGCACCACACGCGTGCTCCATGGAATACGTGCCCTCCTTAATACCACCTTTTCTTTACCCATTCATCTATGGTTGGATACTCGGGTTGCTTTCATAACTTGGCTATTGCAAATACTGCTGCTATAAACATAGAGGTGCATATATCTTTTTGCATTAATGTTTTCATTTCTTTGGGTAGATACCACTAGTGGAATTACTGGATTGTAGAGTAGTTCCATTTTTAATTTTTTGAGGAAACTCCCTACTGTTTTCCAGAGTGGCTCCACCAGTTTGCATTCCAAGCCAAAGTGCGCAAGCGTTCCTTTTTTCTCTTTCTTCTTGTCAACACCTGTTGCTTTGTGTTTTTTGTTTTTTGTTCTTACTTTAGCCATTCTGACAGGTGTGAGGTGATATCTCATTGCAGTTTTGATTTGCGTTTTCCTGATGATGAGTGATGTTGGGCATCTTTTCCTGGGTCTGGATATCTTCTTGGCAGAAGTGTCTGTTCATGTCTTTTGCCCATTTTTAATTGGATTATTTGTGGGGTTTTTTTGTTTGTTTGTTTTTGTTTTTGTTTTTGTTTTGGTACTGAGTTGTATCAGTTTTTTCTATACTTAGGATACTAACCCTTTATAGGATATGTCACTTGGAAATATCATTTCCCATGTCATAGGTTGCCTTTATTTATTTATTTATTTATTTATTTATTTATTTCCGTTAGCTAGCATATAGTACCTCATTAGTTTTTGATGTAGTGTTCAACGATTCATTGGTTGTATATGACACCCTCCTTTGCTGTGCAAAAGCTTTTTATTTATCCCAATAGTTTATTTTTGTTTTTGTTGCACTTGCTCAGGAGACGTATCTAGAAAAATACTGCTGTGGCTCATGTCAAAGAATCACTGCCTGTACTTTCTTCTAGGATTTTTGTGGTTTCAGGTCTCACATTTAGGTGTTTAATCCGTTCTCATTTTATTTTTGTTTGTGGTTTAAGAAAGTGGTCCAGTTTCATTCTTTTGCATGCTGCCGTCCAGTTTTGCCAACACCATTTGCTGAAGAGACTGTCTTTTTCCCATTGCATGTCCTTGCTTCCTTTGTGGAAGATTAGTTGACCATCTGACTGTGGGTTTATTTCTTGGCTCTCTGTTCTGTACCACTCATCTATGTGTCTCTTTGTGCCAGTACCAAACTATTTCGATCAGTATATTTTGTAGTATATCTTGAAATCTGGGATTGCGAGATCTCCAGTTTTGTTATTTTTCAAGATTGCTTTGGCTATTCAGGGTCTTTTATGGTTCCATACAAATTTTAGGATCATTTGTTCTAGTTCTTTGAAAAATACTGTTGGTATTTTGATAGGTATATTTGATAGGGATTGCATTAAATCTGTAGATTGCTTTGGGTAGTATGGACATTTTAGCAATATTTGTTATCCCAATCCATGAGCATGGACTATCTTACATTTTAGTGTGTCATCTTCAGTTTCTTCCATCAGTGTTGTATGGTTTTCAGAATACAGGTCATTTACCTCTGGTTAAGTTTATTCCTAGGTATTTTATTATTTTTGGTGCCATTATAAATGGGATTGTTTTCTTAATTTCTCTTTCTGATACTTCAATATTAGTATAGAAATGCAGCAGATTTCTGCATATTGATTTTGTATCCTGTGACCTTACTGATTAATTTATCAGTTCTAGTAGTTTTTTGGTGGAGTCTTTGGGGTTTTCTATATATAGTATCATATCTCCACAAATAGTGAAAGTTTTACTTCTTCCTTACCAATCTGAATGCCTTTTATTTCTTTTTGTTGTGTAATTGCTATGGCTAGGACTTCCAGTACTATGCTGAATAAAAGTGGTTAGTGGACATCCTTGTCTTGTTCCTCTTGATCTTAGGGGAAAATCTCTCAGTTTTTCACCATTGAGTATGATGTTAGCTGTGGGTTTTTCATATCTGGCCTTTATTATGTTGAGGTATGTTCCCTCTAAATATAGTTTTTTGAGGGTTCTTAT